AAATAGACGGAGAAGAAGCCGCCAGCCAACGAGAGGAAAAAAGAAGGAGATAGGAAAGTGGGGATCCGGTCGAAGCAGTCCAAGGGCGGGGTGCCACAATGCGAGAGCTGCACGGCATCAGGAGACCGCGGAGGGCGAACCAGTCGGCGGGAGCTACGCTGAAGTCGGAGATCGCGAGGGCACAACCGTCCAGCTTGAAATCCTCCGAGCGAATCTTCGCAAACGAAAAGAACCGCACGTGTCAGTTTTATATACACGCGTCGTAACGCGTTCCAGAGTGGCATACAAGATAAACGCGGCCTGCGTTGCGCTTAACAGAAAGTGATAGCGTCTTCCTTCGTAAACCAAAAGAACCGCACGTGTCACTACCCCCCTCTGAAAAAGCATCGTCCCGATGCTAAAGACAGAACATAAGAGAGAGTACATGCAATGAATTACATTAACAATGCGTCACAGCTAATCAGCGCGCGTAATAAGGTTTAAGTCGCACCACGTGTACGACTTCGGGTCGTGCACGGCGTCGTTGGGATGACGTTAAGCCATCGGGCACGACCTCATAGTCCAGTTCACCACGACGTCGGACTACCTTGTAAGGTCCAAAGTAGCGTCGCAGGAGCTTCTCAGACAATCCCCGTCGTCGTATCGGCGTCCAGACCCAGACAAGGTCACCTGGTTGGTATTCGGTGTGGTGTCGTCGAAGGTTGTAGTGGCGCCTGTCGACCGTCTGTTGGCTCTTGATACGCAGGCGGGCTAGCTGTCGAGCTTCTTCAGCGCGATCCAGGTAGCTGGCGACGTCGAGGTCTTCTTCGTCGGTGCCGACCGGTAGCATGGCGTCAAGCGTCGTTGTTGGGCTCCGTCCGTAGACGAGCTTGTATGGAGCAAACTGCGTCGTTTCCTGCACGGCCGTGTTGTACGCGAAGGTTACATACGGGAGTATGGCGTCCCACGTCTTGTGATCGACGTCCACGTACATGGCCAGCATGTCGGCGATGGTCTTATTTAGACGCTCGGTGAGGCCATTCGTCTGTGGGTGGTACGCGGTGGTTCGGCGGTGGCTTGTCTGACTGTACCTCAAGATCGCTTGCGTTAGGTCAGCCGTAAAGGCCGTACCTCTGTCGGTGATGAGGACCTCGGGGGCTCCGTGGCGGAGGACGATGTTCTCAATGAAGAACATGGCGACCTCGGCGGCAGTGCCCTTGGGCAAGGCTCTTGTTTCGGCATAGCGGGTGAGGTAGTCAGTCGCTACGACAATCCATTTGTTGCCAGAAGTTGACGTCGGGAACGGCCCCAGTAAGTCCATGCCGATTTGTTGGAATGGCCGTTGAGGTGGTTCGACGGGTTGCAGAAGTCCGGCTGGCCTAGTTGTCGGCGTCTTGCGTCGCTGACAGTCTCTGCATGTTTTTACGTAGTGGGCGACGTCGGCAGCGAGGCGAGGCCAATAGTACTTCTCTTGTATTCGTGACAGTGTGCGGGAAACACCAAGATGTCCGGCTGTCGGGTCGTCGTGTAATGCTTCCAGAACCTCTGGACGTAACGCTGAAGGTACCACGAGGAGTTGGTCGGCGCGGAGCGGCGAGAAGTTTTTCTTCAGGAGGACGTTGTTTCGCAGGAAAAACGAAGCCAGTCCTCGGCGGAATACTTTCGGCACGTCGGCGGTCTTGCCTTGCAGGTAGTCCATGAGGATCTTGAGCTCCGGGTCAGCTCGTTGGCGTTCCGCGTAGTCGTCGGTACTTATGGGTCCCAGGAAAGAGTCGTCGTCCTGGTCATCCTGGGGCGGCGGATCGACAGGGGCGCGAGACAAGCAGTCGGCGTCGGAGTGCTTTCGTCCGCTCTTGTAGACGACGGTGATGTCGAATTCTTGTAGTCTGAGACTCCACCGTGCGAGGCGCCCTGATGGATCCTTCAAGTTAGCTAGCCAACACAAGGCGTGGTGGTCACTCACGACTTTGAAAGGCCTGCCGTACAGGTAGGGGCGGAACTTTGATGTAGCCCAGATGATGGCAAGGCATTCCTTTTCTGTCGTGGAATAATTGGCTTCTGCCTTCGAAAGTGACCGGCTAGCGTAACTGATGACCCTTTCAAGTCCGTCGGTCCTCTGCACGATCACGGCGCCGAGCCCTGTGCTGCTTGCGTCCGTGTGAATTTCGGTGTCAGCTTCTTCGTCGAAGTGCGCCAGTATTGGCGGCGTTTGCAGGCGTCGCTTTAATTCTTGAAATGCCTCGACTTGCGGCGTTTCCCATTTGAAGTCGACGTCGGCCTTCGTGAGGTACGTCAGTGGCTCGGCGATCCGCGAAAAGTTCTTCACGAAGCGCCTGTAATAAGCGCAGAGGCCAAGAAATCGGCGTACTGCTTTCGTGTCGGTGGGTGCAGGAAAGTCGGCGATCGCAGCTGTTTTCTGTGGATCAGGGAGCACTCCCGACTTGCTGATAACGTGGCCAAGGAACAATAGTTCCTCGTAGGCGAAGCGGCACTTTTCTGGCTTCAGGGTAAGTCCCGAGGCTTTGATTACCCGAAGAACAGCTTCAAGGCGCCGGAGGTGCTCGTCGAAGTTGGAAGAAAATACGACTACGTCGTCCAAGTAGACGAGGCAAGTCTGCCACTTCAAGCCTGCGAGTACTGTGTCCATAACCCGTTGGAACGTCGCAGGCGCCGAGCAAAGACCAAAGGGCATGACCTTAAACTCGAATAGGCCGTCTGGTGTTATGAAGGCAGTCTTCTCTCGGTCTCTCTCGTCTACTTCGATTTGCCAGTAGCCGGTTTTGAGATCCATCGACGAAAAATACTTGGCGTTGTAGAGTCTGTCCAGAGCATCGTCTATCCGTGGGAGGGGATACACGTCTTTCTTCGTGATGTTGTTCAGGCGACGATAATCGACGCAAAAACGTAGGGTTCCGTCCTTCTTCTTCACCAACACCACGGGTGATGCCCACGGACTCGTAGACGGCTGAATGATGTCGTCACGCAGCATTTCGTCGACTTGTTGCTTGATGGCCTCGCGTTCCCGTGCAGAAACTCGGTAGGGGCTCTGACGGAGCGGACGGGCATATTCGTCGGTTATGACGCGATGTTTCGCGAGAGGGGTCTGACGAAGCCTCGACGACGATGAGAAGCAGTCCTTGTATTGGTGGAATAAGGCTTTGAGCTCCTTTTGTTGCTGCCTGGAAAGGCTTTGATTGACGTCGAAGGCGGGCGCGGACACTGCTGTCGACGTTGCGGCTCCCTGAGAATCAGTGAGGGCGAAGGCATTGCTCGCTCTCACAAATTCGCTTAGATGTGCTACCGTCGTGCCCCTATTCAAGTGCCTATATTCGTTGCTGAAGTTCGTCACCATTACCTTGGCTTCGCCGTTATGAAGCTTGGCTATGCCTCTTGCGACGCACATCTGGCGGTTTAGGAGCAGGTGCTGGTCGCCTTCGATGACACCTTGTAAGTTGGTAGACGCTTTGGTGCCGACGGAAATGATGACGCTCGACAGTGGCGGGATGGTTACCTGCTCTTCTGTCACATTCAAGGCATTGTGAGCGACGTTGCAGTCTGACGCCGTTGCATTATCCGTGGACAGCGTGATTGACCTGGATCTTAGGTCGATTACTGCGCCTTGCTGGTCCAGGAAATCCATGCCTAAAATGACGTCTCGCGAGCATTGCTGCAGGACCACAAAATTCACAGAATACGTCTGGCTGTGAATCGTGACTCTTGCCGTGCAGGTTCCAGTCGGTGTTATAAGGTGGCCCCCTGCTGTTCGGATATCCGGTCCTTCCCATGCAGTCTTTACCTTCTTGAGCTTAGCGGCGAAGAGACCACTGATGATAGAGTAGTCGGCGCCGGTATCGACTAGGGCGGTGACGCTGTGGCCGTCGATGATCACGTCGAGGTCGGTGGTTCGTCGTCTGGCGTTCCGGTTAGGTCGGGGCGTCGGATCACGGCTGCGTCGGCTTGGTCCGGTGCTGCTATGTCGCGTCGGCGGCGAGGCTTTGTCGTAAATACTCTGCTCAGGCGGCGTACTGCGACTACGTCGGGAAAGTTCGTGCGTCGTGGTCGTCGTCATCGGCAGCGGCGGCGGCGGCGGAGGAGGATCTTCGGCATTGCGTCGTGCAGCAACCGCACCTCCATCGGTTGCTGCCTTTAGTTTCCCGGGTAGGGGCTTGGGGATCGGCCCCGGTTAGGGCCGGTGTACTGGCGGCGATCCGGGGAGACGTAGCGGCCAGGCGAAGGTGAACGGGATGGTCGTCGTTGTTGCCACTGCGATCCGGCGATGTAGTCAGCGATGTCGCGAGGTCGCTCACCTGGGCGCGGACGCGGCGCGTTCACGTCGAAGCCACGCAGTCCCATCTCACGGTACTGGCAGTAGCGGTAGGTGTGCCCGGCTTCGCCGCAGTGGTAGCATAGTGGGCGGTGGTTCGGGGTGCGCCAAACGTCAGTTTTCCTCGGCGAGCGCTGGATTACTGGCGAGCGGGAAGGCGTCGGGGGTGGCGGCGGTGGCTGGCGACGAAACTGCGGAGACGTTGGGTCCTGGTGTTGGCGAGGAGCGGCGACAGGTCGTCGTGCAGTAGCGGCGTAGGTCATCGCCTCCGGTTGGGGCTGTGGCCGTTCAGGAACGCTCAGTGAGCGCTGTAGTTCCTCGCGGACTACGTCTTCGAGAGAGGCGACTTGGGGCTGAGACGATGGCAACATGCGGCGCAGTTCTTCACGAACAATAGCGCGTATGGTCTCGCGCAGGTCGTCGGGGCAGAGTCCTCGGACTTCTGCGACGTCTGGCGACATGCGCCGATCGTATTGGCTGGTCCGCATTTCAAGAGTCTTCTCGATGGTGGTAGCCTCGGAGAGGAACTCTTGTACCGTCTTTGGCGGGGTTCTGATCAGTCCGGCGAAGAGCTCCTGCTTCACTCCTCGCATAAGCAGGCGAACCTTCTTGTCCTCAGACATGTCGGCGTCGGCGTGGCGGAAAAGTCGCGTCATCTCCTCCGTAAAGATCGTTACGTTTTCGTTGGGGAGCTGCACCCGAGTTTCAAGCAGTGCTGCGGCTCTTTCCTTTCGCACGACGCTTGCAAAGGTGCGCAGGAAAGCAACGCGGAAGTCGTCCCAGGTTCGAAGCGTTGACTCGCGGTTCTCTAACCAAGTCCTTGCGGCGTCTTCCAGGTAAAAATACACATGACGCAGCTTGTCGTCCGGGTCCCACTTATTGAGGGCTGCGACGCGGTCGTAAATGTCAAGCCAGCTTTCCGGGTCTTCGTAGGTCGATCCGCGGAAGGTAGGCGGCTCTTTGGGCTGGTTGACGACCACGGTTGCCGAAGACCTTGCTTCCGTCATCGTGGATGCCGGCTTCGTAGCAGCCTTTGTTTTCTTGTCCTTGTCGGGGAGCGGCAGGTATTCGGGCGGTAGTCCTTGTTGTCTTCGGCTCACTCGAACGACTGGGTCGGCGTCGTCCTCTTGCCGGCTTGGGCTTGGCTCACGGCTGGACGGGGGCGTACGGTACATGGACCGAGAAGCACCTCCACCAGATGTCCCGAGGTTGTGATACACGCAGCACTTGAGAGGAAGCACGCAGGAGTCAGGGCGGTGTCAGGCGAACTGTTTATTGGGCGAACTTGTGCCCAGCAAAACGGGGCCAAACACAACTCATAGCTACAGCGGCGTGAACAGTCCTCGGCCGACGGAAAAAAAAGAAAAAAAGACCCCCAGTGGCGCACTGCGCCGGCTTTTTATACACGCGTCGTAACGCTTTCCAAAGTGGCATACAAGATAAACGCGGCCTGCGTTGCGCTTAACAGAAAGTGATAGCGTCTTCCTTCGCAAACGAAAAGAACCGCACGTGTCAATATATATATATATATATATATATATATATATATATATATATATATATATATATATATATAGCTCTACGTGAACAGCATTTTCTCTGTTTGACTATTAACTTGAGACAACTCGGCGCTTTCGTACAGAAGTATGTGTGAAGCTCTCTTCAGGTGAAATTTTATAAGGCGATGTTATGCCTTTTTTAAAGTGGGTTGAATAGTATTCTGTGCTAATGTGCGCACACGTCAGAGTTAGGCCGTGAGCTGGATGACCATCTACTCGGCCGTCGATGAACATGAGCAGCACTACGTTATTTAATTGGCGAGGAAATCAACAACCGCTGTTCGTTCAACTGGTCGGAGCCTCTCCTGCCTACTTGAGATTGGTCCGGCTATAGTTTCAGCTACACCTTGCTGTCAATCAAGGCTAGGTTTATGCTTGTTTGACTGCTTCTCTCAAGTACAAGTTAGACCACAAGTCGTCTGTAAACAGCAGAAGAACTTGTCGCAATACGGGCAGCTATCTAACTTGTGTCTGTTCAAACACCCCGGTATTGAATGTCATTTGGCACAAAATGCACATAGGAAGCGATTGATTCTTGCTAAAAAAAGTTAAATGCCGCACACAATCTTAAAAATTGTTCAAGCACTCCACCTCACGAGGAATAATGCTCACTCAATAATATTGCAATAGATCTCTAGACAATGCAGATTGACGAAATACGAGCTCACTGATCATAAAGGCAGAGTCGCTGCCCACTGAAGTGAGTGCACCATACTTTCACAGCGACGGGAACTTTGTATTATAGTCGCCCATGCAAGAGGGCACAACGACTTATTGGTCTCAGCCATACTATTGATACAGGCGTATGAATGAAGCAGATCCTGAAATTTCTTTTCGCATCCCAGCTAGAGTGAACCCCAGCAACGCCCGTTTGCTACACCGGATTCCCACGGACGTTGCATTCACTCGCCGTTACGCCCACCTCATCCACCCTGCGGACAGCCCGAACTGTGAACGCTACGAAATGTTTACGTATCTCAGTTTACGTGTCTTGCTTCAACGCTGGAAAGAATCGGCGCGGCAACGGTAAGTAAAACGGGTACTTTGTCGGGAATGTGCGGGCCACATGAAGTCGGCAGAGGCGGCCAGTGTAGTTATTGATTTTCTCAGGAGCACTAGACTAGCGACCAGACTTTGACGGAACCACTCTTACGCAGTTCGTGTAGGCATATGCGTATAAATTTCCCCCTCCTCACCATCTCTCTTAAATTACACCTTTTTATTCTTTTCCTTAGCCCTGCGCAATGAAGTACATTGGAGCACATTGGAGCACAATGGAGCACATTGGAGTACACTATTTCGTACCGACCTCTCTGCCTTGCAATAAATTATAGACATTGCTTTCTCTAGTCTTTATCGCCACTTTTGTCTGTCTTATGAGTGCTGCCTAAATAGAAGCTATAATGGAGAGTTTGTCGGAAGGCTTTTGTTGACATCCGACGTGTCAGAAGACACACGTGACAATTTAAAGCAACACCTTTTTTGAGAAACTTGTTTTGTTAAGCATACGCATTGCGAAAAGAAAGCGCGCCACAAATGACGTTGTCAGACGGCCTATTGACAACTTAATTCCGTTTCTAGAGCGGAACAGAGCTTCTGCTCAATAAAGCTCTTAGGCTTGAATTTTTTTACAATGCAAAGCTTCGTCCAATCGCAGCACTCCACTGCACATCAATCGTAAAACCTTCTGGTCAGTGAAGCCGACCAGACACCTAAAGAAATCAATTAAAAAAACATTGAATTCAGTCTCATCTTTTGATGTTACCGAAAAAGGCGTGCTCAAAAAGTTCCTGTGTAATTTTGGCATAGTATTAACATACTATACCCTCATTTTCAAGCAAAGCTAAACAGTTGTCCTCGTAGGCTGTACCTTAAGGAAATGAGCATTTCGATGAAGCCAGCTTACCTCCTGCGAGCGTTAGTGTGGCGAAGCTCAGCTCCACCTCAGTCGAACCAGCGTCGTTGTGGGCAGACATCAGCAGCGTGTACCACGTGCCTGGCGTCAAGTCTGCGAGCTGAACGAGTTGCTGCTGCGGCACTACATTGTTCGAGTGGAGCGTCCAGTCAGATGACGAATGAGGCGGAGAAGGTGCGCGGGTATCTGGCCGGTACTGGACCACGAAGTAGGACACTGGACACCCACCACTCTCCCATGCATCCAAATGGAGCACCACAAACGTCGTGTTGACTTCGAACAGACGGTTTGCGTCAGGCTCCACCGGACCTATACGGGAAATTGAGCTTTTTTAATATTGCAAAGATACAAATGAAAATTGTAAAGCGCATTGGTAAAATTAGTACGAAAGAAAAGTTTGTTACAATGATCTGTGACAAAAAATAGTAGACATCCTAAAAACAAAAGTGTTTTTTATATTATCGTTGGATACCATATTTTTTTTTTTCGCCGTAGTAGCAAACTTTCATTCCCGGCTTCTGTTCAATAAGTGTTAAAGACGATAGTCTTCCTTGGGATACTTCTACGCAAAAGTTTTGGTCTGTGCATCTTCCTGTCTCTGTCGGTCGACTTGTCTGTGTGTTAACCAGAACGGCTCAAGTTCAACCACATCTGCAGCGCCCACCAATATAGATCTGGTTCTTGCGTTACTACTTGTGTTATTATCGATTCAAAAGCAAACATTGCGCCCAAGCAAAATGTCAATTCGTCGTTATTCTATGGCGTGTTTCTTTACACTAGAAGGGGCATGAATAAGTAATTACAAGGATTGCAGCGTTTTTTATGCTGCGCAGACAATGCGACGCTGTGCACGAAAAGACGAAATTTCCGCGCTTTGCTAAGACGTTACAGTGCTCTCACCTACCTTGCAATCTAGTGTTTACGGCTTCCGATAATACTCGCGCACACCGCGCGCTTGCAATATTGGAGGTCGTCCTTTCGTTTGCTGAGATTACCGCCAGATGGCACTCAAGTCTTACGCAATGCCCCAAGAATCCCATTAACAGATTTTCTTGAGCAGAACATCAAATGAATGTTTTGTTCATTCTCCTCAGGTAGAAGACTGCCGTCTTTCGAGGAAATTTGCAGTCGAACATGCAAATACGGGGCCAATTTTTTATCTTCGACTCTCTCTATATAGTGAACGAACGCAAATGCACTAGGTTGAAATGCATAAAAAAGAAACTGCTGGAATGTCTGTCTAGACTACACGAGTCGACAAACAAGCAGTCAGCCGACCTTTGACATCAGGCAATCAAACAAGATATATGTATGCGATAATTGCGCGATAAATATGGTTTGCCCACAGAAGCCGTACTATTGCAGATCCTAATACATGACTATCTATAAGTGAATCGCTTAATCAATCTTACGATCTGTTTTAATTGCGCTACTGGGTTTGTTCTTTGTTTAATTCATTCATTGTCACTTGCAAAAATAGGTAAAGACCGACGCTACGTTTATACCATGCATGGCCATGCCATATACCAGGTTCTAGCGAGCTTTGATCAAAATATTGACGGAATCCTGTATATGCCGCGAAACATGAGCGACGCACAGCATCAGCGTCCACAGCTAGCAGATCTTCTGCTTCAAACAAGTCTGAATCAGATGGTACTTCAATACCATGATTGTTTGAGGGCAAATTTATTGCCTCCATTTAAAGCCCTCGCGCACGAACAAGGCAACGTTGTTCCACTTTGAGCAAATCATCCGATTCGGCAGTTCTTGATATAATCTCGACGTGCGCGTCTCATTTGCCATTATAAAAAAACGACGTTATTGATATCACAAAACATAATTTTCATACATGTGTGATTTCTAATCTCCCTTGTCCTAGACCTTACGATAGAGACGAGTACTTCTCACAAGCCGTGAAATGCACTCACGTCCTCCATTGGTCCGCACGCTGAGGGTCTCTCCTTGTGGCCCCTTTCCCGCACGGTTAGCGGCTCTGATGTAGACCAGGTACTCCGTGCCGCAACGCAGGTCTGACAACGTGAAGGCCCGTCGATCAGGTGGCACGGACACCTCGTGCCATTCGCCACCTGATTCCGACCTATAGTAAAGCGAGTAGCCTGCGCAACATGAAGAGCGACGAGTCATTCAGGTATTTTCTAATCCTTGCCCATTCTTCAGATGAGGTATTGTTTGAAATCGCGATGTACAGAAGAATAAAGCAAAACTCGGATCTTTTTTCCAAAAATCTGCACTCAAGCAGTGTGAAGAAAGTCTATTGAGTGGTGAGCGCTGGCGTTCGAAATTGGGGTAACTATGCATATGCTTCCTTTTGCCAACTAAAGGGAACGACATCAGAAGGGTCATAGTACCCAGTTCTCTATCATGACCTGTGTTTTATGGGTTGATCCTCGTACACTCACAAATAAGCTGGCGAAATTTAGGCGCACTTGATCGAACACTTATTTTTATAGTTTGATAGTTTAATAAACACGTAGATAGCCTGAGAGTCCTGCAACACTGGCGCACTGACAAGCCGTGACGTACCAAGCAACCAGCTGTGCGAGCGTGTGCCTTACGGCAAACAATATTGTTTTGCGGTCTGCTGCCCGTTAAATCTATCTATCTATCTATCTATCTATCTATCTATCTATCTATCTATCTATCTATCTATCTATCTATCTATCTATCTATCTATCTATCTATCTATCTATCTATCTATCTATCTGTCTGTCTGTCTATCTATCTATCTATCTATCTATCTATCTATCTATCTATCTATCTATCTATCTATCTATCTATCTATCTATCTATCTATCTATCTATCTATCTATCTATCTATCTATCTATCTATCTATCTATCTATCTATCTATCTATCTATCTATCTATCTATCTATCTATCTATCTATCTATCTATCTATCTATCTATCTATCTACGACTTCTAGCTCTCCTGACCGTTTAGATAACGGTATCAATACCAAACTTGGTATGGCATAACATGATTGTATGGCGAGCATATTTGACTAGTCATAACATGAAAAGCATAACATGTATGTCATGAATATTACGATTTACATTTCATGGTCCTGCTGCTCTTGCGGTGGTTTCGTTCACATGGCATGGTGCAAAACTGGTATGGTATGCCATGATTACATGGTGAACACAAGTGACAGACCATAACATGAAAATCATGAGTTCATGACATGCGTGTCATGAAACAACATCACTACATGCCACGCTCATGATGCACTCGCGGCTGTTTTGCTAGTGTCACATATACCAAATTTGGTATTACGGTACGTTATTGGAGGACGACAGTATGTGACTGGTGCAAACATGATAATCATGCGATGCGTGTCATGTAACGAAATGACTACATGTCACGCTCATGATGCGCTGGTGGCCGTTTCGCTGGTTTCACTTATACCAGATTTGGTATTGCGTGACGTGAATGGACGACATAGGTAAATGACACGTCTACCGTTTCGCTAGCTTCACATATACGAAGTTAGGTATTACGGGACGTGAATAGACAACAAAGGTATGTAACTGGTGCAAACATGATAATCATGAGATGCGTGTCATGTAACAACAGGACTACATTCTACGCTCATTATGCTTTGGCGGCCGTTTTGTTAGCTTCACACGTACCAAACTCGGTATTACGTGACGCGAACGGGTGACATAAGTAAATAGCACATCTATACATGATAATCAAGACATGCGTGCCATGTGACAACATCACTACACGCCACACTCGTGATGTGCTCGCGGCCGTTTCGCTAGCTTCACATATGCCAAATTTGGAAATACGTGACGTCAATGGATGATAATGGTATGTGACTGCTGCAACCATGATACTCATCAGATACGTGTCATGTGAGAACATGACCACATGCCACACTCGAGGCGCCAATACAATTCACCGTGACCCGGCACGCGTGCGGGCCGGCGTTCGTTTCGTCTCGTCACACAGGCGTTGCCACGCCCGGCGCTGGTCCTGCCATATATGTACTCGCAGGCGTGCGCCGCGCTTTGTTGCTTTGACTCATGTGCGTCTCAGCGCGTGCGGCGTCCCTCCATCCCAAAAATATACAGACGCAGTGCTGTCTAGGCAACGCATTGGCGTGAAATTAAGCATGTTGCAGCTCTATAGGGAGGCTGCGCCGACGGACGCTGGTCGCGCCGGTTGCCCAGCTTGCGCGCGCGTCAACGTTACGTTGGAGTATATTGATTGCGACCTTCATGATGCGCTCACGGCCGTTTCGCTAGCTCCACAGTGACATATCAACCTTTTTCATTCGTGCTTCGCATATTATCGATTCCCACTGACATAAGATCTGCCAATTTTAGATGCGGAGCATCTAACACTCGAGGCTTGTAGTGCGGCGCCGTCCGCAAGCTTCCTCCTCCTCCTTCCACCATCTGTGCATCCCTTCCTCCTCTACACACCGCGCGCGCTTCACTCCTCCACCATCTGTGCACCCTTCCTCCTCTACACACCGCGTGCGCTTCTCCTCTTCACGAACATTCGCTAGCTGTATAATGTAGCGCGCCTGCGCCGTCACGCTTCGAGAACATCGGCAGCTGACGCGCGTGCATGCGCCGTCGCGCTTCGAGAACATCGGCAGCTGACGCGCGCGCATGCGCCGTTGCGCTTCTCCCCCTTCTCGAACATTCGACAGCTGACAGTGCATGCGCCGTCGCGCTGTATATATACTTAAAGTCGGTGCTCGCTCGCTCAGTTGCCGCTCGTCGGTTGGTTTGCACGGCGCGTCGACGTCCGAGGTCGCTATGATCGACGTCCCTTCGACCAGCGCCGGCCAAAGTGGCATCTAAAAGCCATCGTGCTCAAAGTTCGTCGCAATAAATAAACACCGCCCTTTCGCATACGTGTCGTACGTGTTCACTCATTTAACACCCCTCCTACAACCACGTTAACCAATTTAGCCAGCGACCCAAGTAAGTCGCAATTTAACACCCCATTTCACAACCACGTTCACCAATTTAGCCATCGACCCAAGTAAGTCGCACTTTAACACCCCGTTAACCAATTATATGCTCCGCATCCTCCTCAGTGTTCCCCCGAGGGAAGCTGCGGGCAATTTTTTTGAGCTTTCTTCTGTTCGACACTTCACCCTCAAAATGAATTAGTGTTATATAATAATAATGTTTGGGTTTGTTGTTTCAAAACCATTGTATGATCATGAGAGACGCCTTATTGGGGTGCTGTGTAATTTCGGATCACCTGGGGTTTTTTTGGCGTGCAGCTGAGTCCAAGCACACGAGCCAAAAACATTTTCGCCTCCATTGAAAATGCAGCTGCTCCAGTGGGAATTTGATCCTGCCACCTTCAGGTTGGCAGTTGAGTGCTGTAACCACTGGACCAGCGTGGCGGAGCTAAATGATTTTCAACAGATGAAACTTTGGTAGAAGACAACGGCTCCACTCCGTGCTGTTTATGACGCCACACATGCCATGGCAGAATGGCAGTCACTGGCGGTAGGCGAGGTTTACTGCCTGTTAAGTCTGGGGCTTCGCGTTTTTGACTGAATAATTTTTGCGGCCCACTTTCTATATCTTTATAGGCATAATAGACCTACTACTTTAGTTTTAGCGAAGAACTAAAAGTTGCGGAGTGATCATGTTATGGTTCCTTTAAGTGTACAGACGTGAAATACGGCCCCGCCACGGGGGTATAGTGGCTAAGGTACTCGGCTGTTGAGCCGCAGGTCGCGGGATGGAGTCCTGGCTGTGGCGGCTGCATTTCTGATGCAGACGGAAATGTTGTACACCCGTGTACTCAGATTTTGGTGCACGTTAAAGAATCTCAGGTGGTCGAAATTTCCGGAGTCCTCCACTATGGCATCTCTCATAATCATATGGTAGTTTCGAAACGTTAAACCCCACAAATCAATCAATCAGACGTGAAGTACACCTACGTTCTCTACTTGTCACCCCTTCTTGTTTAGGAACGTTATTGTTTTTGCTTTTTTTGGCGGGGGGGGGCATTCTTATACAGTACGATGGCCTTTTTTAACCTAAGTGTCGTACGTACACGCATTTTGTTTCGCTCTGGCGTTATTGTCAGATTAATATTTGGCGCGTAATTTCCAACTTTGCACCGTTTTATGTTTGACACATTCAGTAGTTAGGAGTAGCCGGTTCTTAAAGCATGAATAGGCGACGTTGGTGCTATTATGGGGGTGGCGTCAGGTAATCCTACTGCTGATAGAGCATACCGAAAAGCTTAACCAAATAACAGTGGTGGCAGTCCAGCAGTAATTGAACTTTCAAGACAATGATGACGCTAGAGACAACTTCTTTTTTTTTTATCTAGAAAGCCTACCCAGTCAACAAATAAAGACAAAACTGCCATAGTAATCAAACCCAGAAACTCTCGCAGGACACGTTGAAGATATGACAGGCAGGGAATAGAGAACACAGTAATTATATAGTATTTTTTTTTGCATTACCTGTGATGGGGATCTCTTGATGATGCTCGTTTTCCCAGTTGACAGATACAGACCGCACTGTTGTGCCACCTACTCGCAAATGTGGAGCACTCGGTGGGTCTGCGAAGACGTCAAGATGGAAAAAATGATTAGGAATAGAGGAGGGAGAGGGATATGTAAAAACAAGACCGAATGGATATAACAGCCACATTTGCAGTCATTTAATGGTACACTGCATTTAAAAAATTATTTTTGCATATTACAAAAGTAAAAATTCACAATTTCTAAAACACCGCTGCTGCCGCGACATTACGCCTGGTAAGCGAGAAAACGCGCAAAAAAAAAAAAATTCGGTTGGACGTGCCACCTGGAGATTTCCGCACCAAGCACAACGACGTCATAGACATAGACGACGTCTAATAGGTTTCACGTAGTGTCAACGTAAGGTCTCACGTGGACACTACGTAATAGGTCTTACGTAGTGTTGCGTAGTCTTACATAATTGGTAAAAATGAAATGTATTGTGATATGCGGCAGCCCAGACCTTGCATACGAACTTTCAGAAAAGTTCAATGAGCCGATGTCGGGGAATTGCAATAATCGGTTTAGAAATTCATGACGTCACGCACGAAGATCTAATCGCTAAATTTAAAAGGGAAACTTCGACCTAATTTACTCCGCTAATAATGAACCTATGATTGTTAAACTAGTGACATTGTAGTTCTGAAAGTCAGGTTATCAATCGAAATCAATTCATTGTTTACTTAAACGTCCCTTTAGGATTCTATACATTCAAGTCTTAGTGCATTGTAAAATAGTCAGTGACGTATTATTGTCACCGTCATTAATATTTTATATTTAAAAACTTTTTTCTGAGGTATCAAGAGTCAAACGCAAGTTGTGTCCGTAGGTGCCATCCCTGCTGTAAACATAAAAATACCTTATAGAGACGAGGCTACATATGACATGGCGAGTAATCAGAAATCAGTTCAGGGACTTTTGCGTTAAATGATATTTTAGAGGTTGAAATACAGCTACTTGGTATCCTATGCGTTAAAGCACATTCTCGAAGTCTTCGGGAAAAGCAAACGTGTGCGCAAACTATTATCACAATGCTACAGTACTGCAATATTTATTTAGTGTTATCAGCGTTTTCTCACGTGCTACCTCATATTATGGTAGATTGGTGGCTCATTTGCCTGTTGTGCTTTTTTCCACTGTACGAAATTATCAACCCAAGCAGCGTCAGCTTTCTTATAGAGCATTCACCTTTTTATGTTTTTTTTTACGCTCATACGTCAAAGAGCTCGCTTTGCAGAAATTCTGGGGCTGGCGTAGTTGATGGTGAACGAAGAATCATAATCTTGTCCATAACCGACATCGCATTGGAGGAAGAAGCAAATAATTAAAAAATAAAATCTTCTATTTAATTGACAATCAAAAGCAGGCCGTCTGCGTGGCAAGCATGTGTTCTACCACTAAGCCACTCTATCGCTTAGAAATGCTTCGAAAAAAAAAAGCACGATGTGAATGTTATGTAGTGGAACAACTTTCCTTACCGTGCAGATAGTATTGCGTATACCAGAAGCGCAGAATTGCGCCAGGCGTCAAAACATGTAAATTCTGCGGTGTGCGGGTCTTTTAAAGGCCCAGCTATTTAGTAGCGCTGAGGCAAATTGAGTTATCATCAGCTAGAAAAACACTGAAGACTGAGCAGCTGCGTAGGTTCGCATGTTGCGTTACAGAATTGTGGGCCCTTCGGTTATTCGTAAAAGAAAAATTACGGCGTACTGGGCACACAACTGCACTTGCAGTTGGAATTGTAGGATAGTTCTAAATAACCAATGTTATGCACACTGTCATTAGTTTTCGTAGGACAAGGTTGAGGCATGCGTTAAGAACCAAAGGCAGGCTAGCTGTTGACATGGCGATACGGATTGGCCCCGACCTGACGCTATTGTGCTCTATTCTTAAAGGTGAAGGGTTCTCGAAGTTCTGTCTTGAAGTTATGGCACAGTGTAACATAAAAATCTTTTTCTTGAGCCAGCACACTTTAGTAATTACACGTATAGCAGACGAAAAGTAAGATCTCAACGTTGAACAGTTTCTTAAGCCTGCTGTTCTTGGCAAGCAAGTACAAAACTTTCTCGGCAATCCACAAACGTATTTCTTCGCTCAAGCATTCAAATATTAGGCCCATGAAGCTTTTTTTTGACAGTCTAAGATGTAAGACAGCTGATTAAGCTAGCTCTGCTATATCATATTTTCACGAGTCCTATACTGCAATTCCATTTCTTTTATTTAATACTGACATTAATTTTTAAGCTCCACAGGCAAAGAGGAACTCTGAACAACAATAATAATATGTATTCTATAGTTAGCCATATTAGCTAGTTCACTTGCACTATGCAAAACAGAGAAAGGCCTCTCAATGTGGAAGAAAACACCAGAAGTAAAAAAAGACCAGCTGTGACCTTTCGTCCAGATTATACTGACGTAAATATTCATGACATTTACTTTTCGACCTCCCGTCGGTGAACATATGAAATCCGAACTACCGGTTTGTGAAAATATATAATAGACCAATTAGCGTGAACACCATTTTTTATTTAGGACTGTGAAGAAAGAAATTCATACGCTTATTAACTCAATGCTTAAGTGAAGCAAAATGCTTGTTGACTGTCAAGAATCTCTTCGTAAAACAATGAAGCATAAATGTGGGTTCCATCCATGCTTTCAGTTGTCTAACTAGTACGTTAAAGCTAACTGAAATGATTTTTCTTAATACTTCGTTATTACAATAAAGGCTTTTACGGTTATTATTTGTGTTGAAATACATATGAACTTTCTACAATGTGTACAGAGCGAGGGTTTTCTTGAAAGAGGGCCCATTCTTGAACGGTCGCCCAATGACCGTAGCAGTCCGTTAAAGGCGGGGAAATAACGATTTGTAGTGTTTTAGTTTTCATGTTCATGCGGCATACTTTGATTGTTGTCACTTTTTTTTTCTCGGAACGCTGCTTCTCTTGTATTGACTGACACTTCGTTCCAGACGCGAGATATAGTGATGCGTTAAAGGCGCACTTTCTGTCTATGACAAGGCGCTATAAAGACGCCCGAAAGACCAGAGTCTGGACCAATGACTAAGAATGATCGATCGTATGGCATCGATGACGCAATGACGTTCTCAGAAGCGCCCAACAATACGACCCTTGACCGAGGAGTCAGAAGTCGCAGTCGCATTACATAATCGTTTTAGCAGCTTATTGAGGCCATTTCGAAAATCGGAACAATATTAACTAAAATGTATATATTGCGAACACCCACACGGCTATCTAAGTTCGTAGTTGCGGCGGGGTGTGGCGTGTGAAAAAGCTCCAGCCTCCGTATTGCTTGTTTTTGCGCTTTTTTTTTCTTTCTTTTGGAGGAGAAAAGTTGCCCCATAAACTGATAAAAGATGATGCTTTTTCTTCCTTCCGTTCCTGCAATTGACAGCTTCCCGGGCAAGAGTGCTCCAAACAACGCTCTTGCTTTCGAAAGGCCGCCAGTGGGCGCTGAAGGAGTAGCTGGAAGCAATACCATCCGGTTGATTAAGGGTCTTTGTCGAAGCAGTACAGGGTCATTACTGGCGCTTCGTTTTTCGTCAGTGCCAGATGGCAGTTATGTTAACCACATTTTTTTTTCATTTGTCACACCGACAATCACAAGTGCCCAGAGTTAAATTAACTTAATGTAATGAAGCTAGGCGTGAACAAACTGTTGTAACGTGGTAACTAATTTTTCAACGTAAGCAAATGTAAGCAGCCTTATCTACTGTTGTTACTTCTTTGATGTCGTTCAAAACTTGAAAAAGTGTGTCAGCCTCAACAATATCTTTTTATTACAGATTTTGCGTAGGGTTGAATGATGTTCTGTGACTTTGAAGATGGTGATGTTAAAAGTGTATAAAAGAGAAAACCACGACAGAAAAACAATTCATGCACGTTTAATTTAGGATAGGTTTCCCCGCTTTGTTGCGTTGATCTATAAAAATAACTGAGCACTTCCATTTTAATGAACCGTCATTTGGGTGCACGTTAAAAAACCTCAGGTGGGCGAAACTTCCCGAGACCTCCACTGTGGCGTCTCTTATATTTATGAAGTAGTTTCGGGACGCTATTAAACCCCACGTATCAATCAATTTAACGACCCGTAGACCAGTTGGTACTCTCACTTCATTTTATGAAGTGCGACATGCTGGTGTATTAATAATGCAAAACCAGAGATCAGTGAATTATGTAGGTAATAAGGCAGAAGTACAACCATATAAGTATCTCTATTCGTCTGAATGAAGTGCGCACTCTGTTACTTAATTTTTTTTTCACGAAAATGAACTACCCACCACACACAAGAGTTACAGCCCGCCTACAAGTTGGAATTTCACAGAGCACGGTTCCAAGATAAGTATACTGAATCAGATAGCCAAAAATCTAAGCTTTGGGAACACTGATAAAAATATGCGCTTGTGTTCAGTAGAGAAAAGAATAATGTTACCTGAATCAAAAGGCTGTTAAAGAGGAGCATAAGATAAATCAAGTATGATAAAACAACATAACGTGGCCTATATTCTCGACGGTAGTCACTCACCGAAGTCTAGTGTTCGCACTCTGACGACTTCGGACTGGGGTCCAGCGCCCTTGGTGTTGAACGCCTGAGCCGTGACCACGTACTCCGTGGATCGGCGCAGTCCGGCGAGTTCGTAGCTCAACCTGTGTGGTACAAGCTCCGCAGGTCTCACTGTTTCACTCACGTCCGCGTGTATACTGCTGGCGTCGTGGCTCACAGGAGCCGACAGTAGTGCCGGCGACGCCTCGAATGTCTTGAAGGTGAACGCGTCCGAGCTGGAGAGCTCACGATACCCCACGTAGAATCCTTCGATCTCGTCACCCACACTTGAACGGCGGGGATTCTGTGTTCATGGTGAGGCGACAAACAGAGTGTACGGCAGTGAGCTTCGCTTAGGAGTGAGTAACAGCTCAGAACGAACTAGTGTTTAGTTAGTACCGATTCAAAATGCGTGCGACTTAGTGTTCGTGACTGACGCACGAAAGGCAGCTTGCATATCTTATTAATCAGTGTCTCATGTGCGTCTGTGTTTCGGAGTTGTATGTTCTCTTCGAATATAACATAAACATTATGAAGAGTAGCATGAAAAGATAAGTTGCTTTGTATTATTAGCAAGGTACTGCTATCGTAGGACAATTTTGCGCGAAAATTTGGTATCAATGCAAGCACTGCAGCTGCACCTCCGTGCCACCTAACGGCCACGCCGAAAAAGAGGATGAGATCATGGGGCTCGTGGTTACGTAATGGAAGGTAATCTACGTTACACACAATTTCTGGTACATTGTAGACACTTGGTGAAAAACATTTAAAAAAACAAAATGAAACATGAATTTCGCGTTACTAAATTTCAGCGCTAGGCTGCTACAAATTTTCTTCACAGAAGTGACCATTTTGAAATCTTATATTTGAAATTGAAAGGAACCACTTATATGGTCGATGCACAGATGCAGGCACTGTTTCACTTTCCGTTACTTTAAATGTAGAATTTTGGTTTGGTGGCCGTAATCAGGATGTGAAGGCATCCCAACATGAGCTTTTAGAACAAGAACGATGCTTACGTCAAAGGACACTGATATTGTCCTCGTGTTTGTCGCCATGGCTTGTACATTCTTCGGTGGAAACCGGGGAGCTGCAATGGTAACACGAACGAAATTACCTAGCGTAACATTTGTTTCTTTACACGTGTATAATTAGAAGACACCTCTGAATACATACGAAAAGATGTGCCATCTTTCAAAAAGTAAGCACCAGCAATCTCTCTAATCTACAACGAAAATGATGAGTCACTCATGACCATGACCTAATTAAAGAAATATATTTGGTAAAAGTTCATACGAACCTGGCAGAGTGCTTCATACAGAATGTTCAGCGGCCAGTGGCCATGGGATACCGTCTTTTCTCTTTGAGTGTAACACAACTGATTAGCACTACTTGCCTATTCCTTTTAATTAAGTGTTCCTACGGCTACTCTATATTTGCTGATTTCTTGCCTCAGTTAAAGACACTGCCCCGAAAGACTCGCAATTAAATCTGTTTGCTGTATAAAGCACACTTTCCGCTTTCGTGCATGGTAAACAAAAATGAAGAGAGAGCACATATTAAAAGCCAAGTCGTCTAATATTACGCTTCATTGCAGGAGTCCTTGTGATGACTTCCCGACTGTTTGAAAAGCCTCCCGGTATCCTCACTCAGCAGTCTTTTGGCTGAGCGAGGGCAATCAAGAATCAACGCTTTGTTGCCTGCGTAACTTCTGTGCAGTAAGTGGCAAGTCTTGATTGTTATCTGTTTTAGTTCTATTCACGACGGGTACTGATAACAGCAGGAGTTTGTGTTTTTATGTACTGCAACGCAGTAAACAAACTGTATAATGCAAGCTTCAGCAAACAGTTAGAAAAACCTAAATATATAATTAGGGCAATGCGGGGACACTTGCCTAGGCTCTTCACCATAGCCTAGGCTCTTCACCAACAGTTCTATGCAGGTATTGATATATATACTACACGTAATTTATGCACTAATAAACTCTAGAAACTTTGAATATTTCAAATATGTGCAATTTTATTCTTCAAGAAGACTATCACCCGAGAAATACGGCAACGTTTGTTGATTCCGCACAACCTTTACAATGACCAACTTTTGATTCACCTAAGTGAAGAATTAGTGCGAATACAGCTCATAATCTATTTTTATGTACACCATGATCGAAATCCTTGCTAATCAAGTACACCGTGAGCTCTATACAACACAAGAAGTGCGTTTTACTACGATCTATCAGTCTGGTATGTCATGTGCTCAGTTTAGGACAACGTGGTGGTACTGCGGCAAACTACTAAGACAATCTCCTCGGTGTCTTCCGGTTCCAACTTGCATAGAGCAAAGCTAAACAAAACATGTACGCCTATAATGGAAGTCCCGGCAGAGCCGAGTTGTAGTTCTTGGTGTTGGCTTTCCACTCTGGCGCAGACTTTGCCGAAGACCGCTCTTTAATTATTGTGCGTTGGTTACCATGATTACTTGGGTTCCCCATAAATGAGCTTAGTTCTTGCATTCCGTCATTCGATTATGTTCATTCACTTAGGCTTGTGAAAACCATTCGATAATACATAAGAAGTTTCCTAAATGTTATGATCCTGGAATAAATTACAGTGCAGGATAACTATAGTAAGAAGAAGCATTCGTAATGAAACAGGAAATATACTTCGCCTCCCTTGCTCTTTGCCCATGTATGCGAAGAAACTCTCCTTGAATTTCGGTATCGCTTCAAATGTAGGTGTAAACGTGAATTTCTCTCGGGTCTTTTTTCGTATCGCGTGTTTCATCACAGTGCTGTCATTTCCGGGTAATGCGCGTGGGCATAGCTAGGTCATCGCTTTTAAAAGTGACTTGTCATTACGTTTATCCCATTGATTGCGAGCATTAAAGTACATCACATAAAAACTAAAATCTCTACACTGGAAACCGTTTGATGATTCCAGCTGTTTAACTTATCGATTTTCACTAGCTCAGCTCATATCATCGGTTTTGTCACGTGAGTCAAAAGGTAATGTGGAATCTCTTCGATTCTTTCTCTTTTTTGGTCAAAAGCTGCCGCATGAATGTGAGGTGCGAGACGTTTCGCGTATTAGCTAATCATTTTGCTTATGCTCTGCAAGCCACTACTGGCAATATATTTTGAGCTATTGCACTTCTTCTTTTTACCTCACTTCGTCGAAGCATAATGACGCCACCTATGTTTTTCGTTAAGTTTGTCTCTCACCACTTTACTGATCTGTGAATGATTCCCGAACATTCGGTGCATATTTGATGCCTAACTTTGTCGTTAAAAGAAAGCACCTGTGATGACAAAACTTTCTCTGCAAGCCTAATGTAGGTTTTAAACAAGATACTTCGAACTTATTAGTTACTTATTCAATCAACAGAACGAATATTTGTGAATACGACACGCTTTATTTCTACCAGCCTCTCGTGGTAACACCACGTGCTTCACTTAAGTTTATGAGAAAATTTCGAGGAAAGAGTGCATAAGCATTGCCTCTATACGGAAGCAGACTATTTAGAAAAAAAAACATCGATAGAATTGGCGACCACTCACGCTCTTTAGAGGTGGTGAACTCGACTGGTGCGCTGTACTCGCCGATGCCGAGGGCATTGTGGGCCCGAACTTTCAGCTGGTACGTCGTTGTGGGCAGCAGACCTCGCACAGTGGCTTTTGTCTCCAGTCCGGACACGGACAGCGTGTCCTGCCAGAGGCCTGAAGAGAACCACCGAGAAAAGATACGTCATTATACGAGGAGAAAAAGACGAGCGATAGTTTAGAGTGAAGTACTCTTGGTAGCGGTGGGCAATGAGAGAGGCTGGGAAGTTGACGAGGTGTTACTCTGTGTAGCCATGAAGCAACATGGAGGGAGGGGGAAGGCACAATGCGAGGGGAGGAGGCTGCTTTCGATCTACTGGTGTTTCGCGGTATTCAGGTATTCGAGTCTTCAGGTGGATTGAGGCTGTGAACACGCTCGGCACCCCCAATGCCTGGCTGTAGCATCAAAAATGGCTGGTGGCCCCATCCAATTCTATTATCGAATACGAACATTTTAGAAGCACCGCGTCAAAACAGTGATGCAAGTGCCAATCATTTAATTTTGAGCAACGCAAAATATGCATAGGGGCCGCGTCAACTTCATTTCTCATTTGGCGCCTAGGGCTGCAGGAACTAGCACCCTATTTTTTTTTTCCTTGAAGAACCAAATATTTCGTGATAAATTGGTTGTTTCTTTGTCTACTGGTACGTCGAATTGTGTACATCTTGTCAAAGTGAAACAGCTTGTCAGAAATAGTAAAAATTTTAACTTTTACTGTGGCATCCTATAGCCATGGAGTACTTACACAAACGAATTGCTCGTCCCCAATATTCTATGAAAGGGCGTTCCAGTTTTTTAGCAAAGGTTAGCTTTTCAGCACCACGCGCAGCCCAACTTTATGTAAACGTTTGGATATGATCTACAAACAAGGTGGTGGTAAAGAAACCTAATCTGGAGAGCTGCTTGACAGCCCTATGCAAAGTCACGTAATTTTTTTTTTGTAGAATTTAGTTTCTCCGGTGCATTCTTATAAAAGGACTAGCTCCGAATAACATCGAGGCCCATGCTAGACAAATTTACGACCTGCATCTATTATGATAATATCAATACGCACGATAATAGCACTGAAATGATATCGGTGACGTTATCTCAAATATTTTAACAGAAAGAGCTGTGATTATTGCAAATACACAATTATTGAGGCAATTTTAAATAAAATAACAGGTATTGAACGCTTTGCAGTCAAATGTTTTAGCAGCTATGAGAACACACCCCAGCTGAAGGGCAGTGCGACCCCATGAACGTGACACGTCTACAGCTTCCAAGAGAATTATTCATTAGGTACTATACTGTGCTCTAGATTTTAGGTGGTACCACCAGAAACTTCTCGCTAACCCACTAACGAAAAATGGTTCTCTATTAAATCTTCATTTTTAGTGAAATTTTGCTTCCGAAAGAAGCCCAAGCGATTCGTTTACTTTGAAACTTCCCGTTTCATCAGTTAAGCGCAACTTCGAAATCTTTTTCTGCCAACTGACGCAAGACAACAAAACAAAACAAATCACGTACAAAGAGTTCCGGTTAAAGCGAGTAAAATATATTACCACAACCTTCGCAGGCCTCATGGAGCAAGAATACACCCTATACGTTGTACCGCAATCCACGTTTCCTTGCTGACGGGATAGTGTGGCCCAACTGTGGCAACGGCTGGCCTCAGGATTTCGTTTCGCTCGAGAAGACGCGTTTTCAATGAGGCGAGCTCTTAGCGAATCTGACCAGCACCCTGAGAAGCAGATGCGACATCGATGACGACTTGGCGAAGGGTGGGAAGCGATGATGGGAACGCCGCCGACGGATCGCCGCAACGGAATGCGACCTCTCTTCTTGTTCGCTCGTCAAGAAACGCTTTCGGAGAAGACGGCCCCCCCATCTGAGTGCTTTCGAAACCTTACCCCCCGCCTCTTTTGGGAACATCGTTCTGTGGGAGCGTAGTTTCTAGGGGAGCAAAAGAGGAAAAGATAACACACGTGTAACAAGAACGCGCTGGCATCGCGTCCGTCCTCTAGTGGTCAGACGCGGCGCCACAGAGACAAGTTTTCTAAACGACGACGCAGATGCCGGGCACAACTTGAAGCAATAACCATTTTGCTGGATGTAGAAGTTCGGTGCGCGATACGTAGTAAAGTTTCCTTTTTTTTTTCTTTTGCTGCGGCAGACTTAAAAATCGTTCGCCAGCCCGGACGATCGCAACCTAATGGCGCTGAAAGAAACCGCTGTTGTTATCGAGTGTCTCTCGTCGAGTGTGTCTGGCTACACCTGATTTATAATTTTAAAAATAACCATTGCTAGAAAAATGGTTGCTATAGATGGAAATCATCTGAACATGAAGATGCTTGGTATTGATGACACGTGCCTTGCACTCCGTATATTAGGGGCGAAGCTCTTTAACACAACACCCGTTCGTCCCTCGTAGCCGTTGTAGTATGTAACAAGTATAACATTGTGACCTTAAAGGTGGAGCCAGTCAGAGATTTCCTCTGTGCGTTATTGAACAATAAAAAATAGTGCTCAATGTACATGCCAATGGCTGCTAAGGGGGAATGAGAGACAGGAGCATTCGGCTTTTAGTTAACGCGCACGCTGCGATCCCCATTAGCAGGCATTGGCATGTACATTGAGCACTATCTGACAAGAAAGGGTTGCTACATTATACTCGCTGGGTGTAACCTCCTTAGATTTAGAAAGGCTTAGCCAGCGTTGGGATGGAGTGCCATGAATACAGTGAACTAATATATACCGTGAACTCGAGGTGGTTAAAGGTGGGAAGTAGACCCGAAGCGCAATCCACAAGAAAGTGTGCGTGTGCCACCTCTCGTTTAGTCCTGAAAATGTCCGCTGGATGGCGGTGCTTCTATATGGGGAATATAGTATGAAAAGGTGCGAGATGGTGGTACTTGGAGTGTCGAATAGATGGACGAGCGGACACACAGACAGATGCATGGATGGACGCGAAAAACGGACGCAGGGGCGGATGCATGGACGAACGCAGGGATGGACGCACGAAGAGACGCACGCATGGGCGGGCGGATGGACGCATGGATGGTCACACAGACGGACGCATGGACGGGCGGAAGCAAGAACGGATGGACCGACGATTGCTTCGCCCCACTCTCCATCATTCACTCCGTGTATATGCTGCCATTTTTTTTTCCTAAGCAAGTGTAATTCATCGCTATGATAATAACCAGTACGCGTCGTAGGTAAAGCGCAAGTTCTTATCAAACTTTGGCGCATCTGAACATGTACATATCTCTTTCCTGTAGTAAAAAGAAGATTCCTGGTGTGAAAACAAACTAAAGCCAGCACAAAGCGGTTTAGTAATTTAGGGCACTCGAGACATACAGAGGCAAAATGTGACGTACAACCTGTACTTGATATCCGCTCCAATGCAGGCTCGTTAGGCCGCGGTGCGATTTCGTGTGAAGGGGCTCAATTATAATTGTAGTACATCCAAGTCAAGGCTTCGCGGTAATCGCTGTTTCATTCTATAGTAGTAGGTACGTACTATGAGTTGTCGAACATTTGTTCCCAACACATGATGTGCGCACACATGTGCAGTGAGGGTGTTCAAATATGATTGAAGTACATTAAACTCGTCGCTTCGTGGTAATTGGTGATCCATACTAGAATACAAGGTACTCTGAGTTGTCGAACATTTGTTCCTAACACATGGCGTGCGCACACATATGCAGTGAGCAGAGGTGAACCACGTAGACAAAAACTGCCAAATCTGTTTGAAGCTTCGATACCAAGAAAGCTTTCGGTAAGGCGAAGTTCTGCAATGTGAAACGCTTTTTTTCCCGCCTAGCGTAAACGTATAGATGCCATAAAAGTACTTTTAGATGTTGTCGCCTGTTTTAAAAGTAATTACACGTAGGAATGCAAAAAATAAGACGCAAGAGAATAGCAGCTGCTATTCCTAGTGGCAGCCGTTTCAATTCAAGGCAGTTACCCAGCACAATTTCATTAGCAGTGTCTAACAGATATGCTATTTCCAAAGCATTAGTGTTTGACTCCAGGGCGTTCAACTATTTGAGGTTGCGACTCCATCATCACTAGGCTATCTACACTGGCACCAGGCTCTCCTAGCGGATGCTTTTATTTTGTTCAATTATTGTACCTTTGGTGACCGCGAAAACATAACTCGTTCTGTAAGATGTATTATGGCTTTCGCAACGCTACACTTCTTATTTCACATCTGACCATCCACGTTACGCGTCAATGGAGCGTGTCCATGACGCGTCTGTGCCTTCAGGGCTACGGAAAAGAAAACCTGGACCAGCGGAAAAATAAAGACACGGGTTCCGAGCGACCTCATGGAGTTTCACGGTTGACGGCTCCATTATTGATTGATTTCTTAGGCGCTTTCTTTCCTGCTTATGAAAGATGTAGCAGCAGATGCCTGCTTCACATGTCGCATTTTCAATTCCATATCGAGGCGTCAGTTTTCTATTACCATTCTATTGAAATTGATCAGAGGGGGAATTCATCCGGCGTACTCTGACGAGAGTTTGTCAGAACAGCAGCAAAGATGATATGAGGCAGTGTTGAAAATGGTGCAAGTTTTTGGTCACGCAAAATACGGACAATGTATATTTCTCGCGTTTCATACGCGTTGCCAAGTGCTATATTGTATTTTGTATGATAGGAAACAGGCTTGAATACAACTTTTTATGTAATAAATGTGCTGCCAGTTTCGCCATGCACTTGCTTGCATTTATATTCCTATGTTATGACAATCATTTCGTAAAAGCAAAAAGCGGCTTCAGTTATTCTGTTGCATGTGCATTTACCAACTGAAAAGGAAGATTATTTAGGATATAGGGGCACGAGACATGTTGGCTTACCAATCTCGTTATTGGCTTTTTGCATAACACATTTTTTTATTACATACGGGTGCCATATTCGCTGTCTTTTGATAAATGTCAACTACAAAAACTTCATTATGCGAACTAATGTACAGATATAGCGGAAAGCCTGTGTTTTGGTTCAAGTAAAACTGTTGTGAAGGTGTCCGGAATTTATGACTTCGAATAGAAAATGCGGCTTTGGCGGCTGCAATTCCGATTGAGGCTGAAATGCTGCAACTCCGTGTGCTCGGAATTGGGTGCACGTTAAGGAACCCCGGGTGGTCGAAATTTCCGAAGCCCTTTACCATACGGTGGTTTTGGGACGTTAAATTCTACATATCGATCAATCAAGTAGAAAATCGTTGCACTGATAAGTGAAGCCGTGGACGGTACACGATACGTAGTGCTTCGCTCACCATCGATCGTGTTCCAGTGGAGCACATACTGAGTGATGGCCGAATTTCCCGTGAGTGGGGCCGACCACGTGATCCGAGCCGTGCGGCTGCCCACGTCTCTGGCGTCGACATCCACCGGCGGATCCGGTACGTCTGCGCAGTAGATCGGCAAATGTAAGAAGGCGCAATTGTTACTTGTGAAAGCTTCTTATCGAAACAATGTCCTGTGCGCAGCATCAGAGAGTCCAAATCAATCAATGGGTGTCTTTCGTCCAGTGTTTTTTTGTTATTTTTTGAAAAAAAAAAGAAAGGCAGCATTATACCTACCATATTTCATGTATGTTCGTGCTTCTATCTGTACGTGTGTGAGTATAAAACTTGTGAAATGGGGAAAAGTAGGTCGTTTATGTTAATAGTCGTATAGACCGAGTGTAATAGCACCTCCTTATCAAAGACAAAAACAGGCCGGAGCAATCGTGTTGTGTTGCTTGCTTCACCTCCGTTTAAGTGGGTGCTAATTAACTCACTTTTTCAAAAAAATCTAAATTTTCGGAGCCGGGGTGAGCTTGAACACCGTCCTCCCCTGCACCTGGCTACGCCAGCAAAGTGGTTAGTGGGATATCGAGATTTATGTATGAAAATTTGCACTCACCCCACATGCTTTCGCGTGGTTTGCATGTAACGCAGCCGGCTTGCGCTGTTATCAGTGAACTAACTTTTGCTGCTGAATTCGTCCCCGGATATAAGCACAACGACTCGCTCCCGTTACCCCAAAGGCAGGGCAGCCATGGTTACTGTTACTGTATTTCCTACCCACATCGTGAGCGTCGGTGTCACAGCTAGTTTACAGTAATTAAAGCAAGGCAATAAGCGTATGTTTTGACCGTGCCTACTAGACTTGTTCAGGCTAAGTAGATTAAAATTGTGTTTCAGCTTTGGCTGAAGCAGCGCACTTGAGATTAGGACGAAGAAATAGGAGGATGGAATGGGCATGGTGCTCACAGGACATATTTCAGTCATATTGAGAAGTGAGGTCATTTTATCTGCTTACGAGTAAAGATCTTTTTACTTAATTTTTTTTTCTGTGATTGCTTGAATGTATCAATCGCAGTCTTTTTTTGTGTGGATTCCGCAGCAAATTTAGCTTCCCTTATGAAATTTCGTGAATTCACGAGGCATATCTGCATACGCAGGAGTCATAGTGAGCTGGTTTGTACGAGAAATCGACTGCGAGTGCTGCTGTACAGACGCTGCTAATGATAAAGCAGAAATAATTGCATTGCATGTTCTCTCAATTAGCTGCGACGAGAAAGCGCGCCGCTGTGTCGATCAGCTCGTCTTTTCAGGCACTAAAAAAAACTGCACTGGCGGAAATCAAACATGGATTGTGCAGAAGGTCACTATTAGGCTGCTGATTTTTATCCTTTGCCGTGAAACTTGTATTGGCAGCTAAGCCGTAGCCGAAAGTGAAATTTTCGATTAAGCAATCCTGCGTGCGAGCTCTAAATTATGGCGCAAGCGAAGACCCATACCCGAACAGAACAACATCTACAAATAGAACGAGTCAGAACATTTTCCTGACCCACAGATAAGTCTGTCTTAATAAAATGAAATCCGCTATCAAAATTGAAATTAGTAGATGTATAGTTCTGAAACTTTTCGGTAATGAAGATACTGTATAGAGAACTTTCGTTTCTTTCTATTTACATTTTATTATTATATACTGCTGATGAAAAATCAAATGGTAAGAGCAAGATTTAGCTTTGTCGGTTCAGCTCTTCAAATCGATGAAGCTCTACTAGCTCTCAGCGAAATTAAACTAGGAACAAAGACGTCAACATTCGAATAAGGAAGAAGGAACAACGAGAGAGCAGGCACGGTGGTTAACCAGGCACATGCCTGGTTTGCTATTCTGCGTTGGGGAAATGGTTAAGGGGAGTATAAAGATGCGAGAAAAGAGATAGAGAGAGAGAAGAAAATGCTCTGTAAATGGGCTGATGCGTATGCAGTGGTGCACTATACAAACGTCAAAGGCGTTCAGACTCGGACTCGTATAAATAGCAGTCGTGATAAATTCAACTAACAAACTTTCTTAATTCGAAGATAAATGCCCCTGTTGAGCTAGCCCATGGCTATGGCATTTGGTTTCCTAATTCTAGGCCGTGGGTTCAATCGCGACCCTTCTTTCAATGTTTTATTGCATTCATACCAAAAGGCACTGATCTGCAAATAATTATGTGCGAGTTTATGTGCTAATACTTATGTGCGTATTTATGAGCCTCGAATAGGCAAAATGATCTTGAACTTGTCATTGATAGCATTTAGCGTCTACTGTACGCGAATGCTAGAAAAATGCGTGATCTGCAAGTAAGTGCAGGCCTTTGCTTCACATCCATTCTAGTTTCTGTAAGTCAACTGCTTCACTTGATACTGTTGTCTCCTCATTAATGACCGTCTCTTTCACGTGACTTCTGGGTACCGAATCGATACCTAAGTTTCGCTTCACAATCTCAAACTCCAGTGTGATCTTGTAGTAGTGATGCTCAAAACGTGACCCAAAAATAGCGAGATCCCATCCCGGCTACAGTGGCAGCATATCGATGAAGTCAAAATGACAGAGGCTTATGTACATAGATTTATAGGTGCACAATAAAGAATCACAGAAGGTTGAGAAGTCCGGAAACCTTCACTACGACGACCTTCATAATAATAATATGGTTTTGGTACGTAAAACACAAAACTATTATTGTGACTTCCGATCCCCTTTCACAGGGCTAACCTCACCCTTTAACTCTACGCCCCTGATCTTCAACAGTTCTGGCCCAACAGTAAGATTCTTAGCTGAGTCTTTTCCGGTCTACGCTGAACCTATGGCCGGTATATACATACATCACCGCCATATGTCTAGATCACAGTGGCTTAACCGCTATCACATACCTACACACTAGAAGAAACTCGCACCATTTGGAGCTTATCTTATCTAAAATTAATAATCTTCATCTGTCTCGCTGCCGCTTTTCGTGACGATGTTTCCGGCACTTGCCGCTGATAAACGGTGTGGCCTTCCTGAAAGAAAAGCATCAAGAGCAGAGAAAAGCCACGCAAGACTAGCAAGAATTTCGGTTTCAGGATAAAAATAAACCCATCAGATTAGGCGTGATAAAATAAAAAATTAAAGTGACGCTGGAAACGGTGTCCTTTGCCCGCAACAATGATTGCCATCTATCATGCGTACCTTTTCTGCGCCTTGCTTTTTGTGATCACGAACGACATGTGCCTTATCAAGGTGAAATAGCAACGTTGAAAGAAAAGTGTCCAGTGCCAAATTTTAAGCAACAAAAACGCGAGCGTGCCAGATAACTGAGAGCACACAGAGGCCTCCTCCTCAAACTTATTTAGGAGCCAACCCCCCCCCCCCCCCCCCCTCCCTTTCTTTTTTGATGTGTGTAGTTTTGGCACATTTTCATATTCTAATGTCGAATAATCCAAAACGTGGTCTGCTAACCCGGCTCGCAGCCAGATCTAGAGGTCCTAGCTGGTCCACCTCTCCCCCCCCCCCCAAAAAAAAACTTAATGGAGAAGGTATTTCACCGAAAACATATTCAAACGGTGATTTCCTCAGATATTCAAGTTCATCAGCAAGTGCCCCTCTCTCTCATCCCCCCCCCCCCCCCTCTGCTGAAAAAAAAAGCTGGCTGTGGGCCAGCTTCAAGCACGTGACACTGATTTCTCTACCTTGAACGGTTAGTTGAATATTGGTCGAATCCTCGCCGAATTCATTGGCAGCCTGGCAGGTGAAAACGGCGTTGTCTGACCTCTCGACCTGGTGGATGCTGATCCTCGAGATTGTGGTCTCACCGTTTCTATCTTCCACCCTGGAATACCTGTAATATATGTAGTACAACAAAGATGATATTCAAGGTTTTCATTTTATTTATTGTGAATTGTTTTGCAGAGGAAGTCGACTTAGTATGAATACTAGTAGTTCGCTATAGGCAGTACTCAGTCAAACCTTCAACTCGGCTCATATGGTAGGACATTGTATGTGGTAGCGCTTATTGAAAACAAGATGAACTGAAGAAAAAGGGTAAACTACTTGTTCTTTTCTCTTTGTCCTTAGCTTCTCATGCCTTTCGCTTAGCTCACCTACATTTATAAAGAAACTGCTTTTTTTGCTGCTAAATCAATTATAACTAAATTTCCCGGGTGTTTCAATTGCGGGCATGTGCAGGAGCTTGTTAATTTGTTTAACATAACAAGTATTTGACTGTCTTATCCAGGACTTCAATAACAGTGACTCCTTTCACTATGACTGAATGCTTTTGCATGCTATCGACACACAATAGCTCACCCTGGTAACACATTTCAGAAGACATCTTGGTAGTCTTCCAGAGTTAAATGTTATCAATACCGAGAGCTGAATGCCTAGAATATGGTCTAACAGGGCCTTGTTTAGAAGCCATTGCGATGAATGTGTGGAGCTCTCTGTCACCTATACGACAAGGCTAGGGGAGATACGCCACGTGTTTTTTGAGGAAAACCACATTGATTAGTGACACAGCTAGGAAGAAAAAACCCGCTTATTTTGCAAAAAGCACAAAAAGTATTCTTCCTTCCCCAGTAGTGAGCAACTTTCTCGCTTCAGAAAGCCGTTCGCTAAAGCCACGGCCTATGCCTGACTCGCGAAAACTCACTGCTTTTCCAAGCTATGAGCAATTAAATACCATGTTTCTACAAACCCTTTCTCGTTTCTTAACTGTACATAAATTCATTTCGTTTTCTTTAGCCCAGTCGCTGCATATCTCAGGCACTTGCCAGTGACTTATGTATCAGTTGATTTAAAAAGCGCGCAAAACTTTTAGGCTCTCTCTTGCTAGTCCCTCCCCGTTCCATTGTTTCGAATCAATTTCACTGACGAACCGATTCTTCTCGGCGCTTTTTGTAGGTAAGATTTGAAATAGGTCCACGATTTGTGGTGCTGTTTGAACGAAATTATTTCTTTCTTTTCCCTCTTAAGGTCACTTCTTTTTTGTTATAGCCACTTTGAAGTTGGCGTAATACTCACAAAGCAATGCAGCAATCCGCTATAATGGGTAGAGCTTGACTTTTTGTAACAAGTACAGCACGAAACCCAAACAATCACGTTCCTTTCAAGCCCCATATATGTCGCTTCTTGATGTTTTGCAATATTTTGCGTGGTCTATAGTTTAAAGTATATTTTGAAAGAATCATATCACCTCCTTTCTTTTAGCACATTGAGTGGCAGATTGTTCTTCAGCCAGTGGAAACGAATGGGCGAGTCTCCCTGGGCTGGGCAGGTCAGTTCCGTGCCTTCTCCCCGACGAACCGACACAGTAGTGAACTTGCTTGCGAAGCGTGGTGCACCTATGCAGTGAATGTTTAGAGTGAGTTGTAAAAAAATAGAGAGAGGTTGTAATAGCAGTCAACTGCATTAATTACTTGCAACAATCGATACTTTGAAAACAAAACCTCCTACGATTTCTTCTCTCATGAAAACAAGCCATACCAATTTTTCATATGAAGCCAACTTTCACATGAAAACACAAATCTTATCAGCAGAAAACACTGATAGATAATTATGTTTGGCTTAACTTCAGAACAGCTTCCTTTTCGAGATTGCATATTTCCTACTATGCTTCATAACAGCTAGGTCATTACGAAAGCTAAGTTGGTGCGAATGCAGTGAAACCATAACCTGTGCAAACAACTTTTGGGTGCAACAATGTTTATTTTAAAAAGCGAAACATTAAACGTATGTTTTCAGCATACTAACATGTTTGTAAGCATCACGATCGGTAACTCACTTCGCACGGTAAGATGGAGCACGCGGCTTATTCCTGATCCTACGCCATTTGAGGCCTCGCACAGGTACAGTCCGGCGTCCCCGGGCTCCACGCTGCGGATGCTGAGTGTGCCGTTGACTAGGATGTGGATACGGGAATTGCTGATGATGGTGCGGAACTGCGATGCCGGACTTACGGGCTCTGCAAAAGAAGGTCGTTTGTTGAGTATCGCGGAAAGCATTGGTAATGAAAGTAAAAAAAAAAAAACAAACATTGCGTTTCGTCGCACTGTCGAACCAGATCTCGGAGGCCACGTAGTAAAAAGAGGGTGGTTGAGGTTGGCTCCACGAGATTACGCCACAATCAGAGCTGCTCATAAAAAATCGTCCGCTCTTTCCATCAGCGTTTTCAAATTAACTATTATTACACTTACTGACAGTCAATTGGCCCGTTTCTCAGAGAAACAATTTCCCCTATCCTATTTATATCCAAGATAGCTGTTAAGGTGAGCCACGACCACTCTTTATGAGCCGGTTTTATATTTGCGACACTTTTTTGGAGAGAAATTCGTTAAATCCTTCAATTCTGTTACCTGGCTAAAATATTACAGGAGCAAAACACAGTAAAAGCTTAATGAACGTCATTAACAATGTTTGACTGACGTCATTAACAATAAATATATAATAACTATATAGCATAGTGGTAATAATACTAAGAAATTGCATGGAAATAATCATAAGCGAAGGATAAAACAAAAGTACAGTAAGGTAATAAAAATATTTACGGGACAAATGAAACAAGTTATCAAAGGTATCAGATATACTAAAGCCAATCCTAAATTTGAAAGTATCGCAGAAAATATTGAGAGTTCTTCGCAGTTTATTACACAATTGAGATGAGGCATTATTTTTATTATGCGAATATTCAGAAAACTGAAAAGAAATGATCAACCAGAAGTACTCGGATAAGAGACAAGGGTGTCACTCTTTGCTTGCTCCCCTAGTACCTGCACAAACAAAGGTTTCAGAATTTCGAGGTTTAGTTTTGTTAAAACGTAATCTGCTGCTTCGCTAACTTGCAGCAGCCATTTTCTTGGTGTAATACGAGACAGATAAAGGCAAGCTGCTGTAATGGTACTTGTCTACTGACATATGGCAGGCGATAACTTTATTATCGGTTTGGTTGGGCTTGACGGTGGGCGCGAATGCCACGTTAAGTAATCATTACGGACATGTCATGAAACGTGCTCAGATGGGACTTCGTGCTGCGGAGTTTCTCCATCACCTGAAGAGCTCTTCCATCGAATGTGGGGCTGGGGAACTCCGCTGGCCTGGCAGTCGACGTAAACCGAGCGCCCCGTCACGGCAGTCGTGTCGTTGGGCTCCATGGTCCAGGCGGGAGGCACTGCGAGTTCAAATGTGAACAAACGTATGCATCACGAGAGGAACGAATATTTTTTAGGCGATGGGCGGGGGTTGTTCCAATCCACTTTAGCTATGTTTGTGCATGTGTTATATATCACGTATGTAGTTATAAACGTGCTGAATGAAAGGCTTTTGATAGGGGAGGGGCGATGTGGGTAGTTGAACATCAATCCCGGCTCTCTCCTTCCTCTCCCCCGCCCCCCTCCATGTCTCTGCCAGGAATTGCGAAACAACTGCTTGTATGTTTTGCTGAGACATTCACCCTTGTTCATGTTAAAATACGTGTATGTATTTGGGTAATATCTTCCACGAGCACATCAAAGAATGAATGTTTGAAATGTTAATAAATCCTACAAAAGAAAGGCATCAGCTGAGATGATAATAGCAGCAATGCAGCATTGAAGACAGCAACGAACGAATGCCCGAAAACTAAAATTAGTCCTGTGCATATTGAATATGACCGCATTATTACAGCAGCTGTCATACTATCGCGGTATGAATAATCGCGCTGGTGATCACCGCCAAAGTTCTTGTTGTACAGAAGTATAGGCGCTGTCTGACACTACAATCAGTACCTACATAGAATGCCGTGGTGTCGTTTTGCTGCGCCGAAGCGACCCCATGGAATCTAGTGGTACAAAGGCGTGACTTGTAAAACAATATATAAGACAAGGCTCCAATCGAGCATTGTTATGGTTTAGCCGTGTTAACCTTTTCAGTTGCGAAATAAAAAGCGTGCCAAATTTACAGAAAATAACGTTTTCGCTGAATTCGAACAACGTTGTTTTTCTGCGTAAAACGTTCCTATTCTTTCATTTCAACGGAGATCATGTGCTTCACTTAGAGCGCAAAAAAGGGATAATTTGTAAATGTCTTCAGCACAATGAAAGATGGCAATAAATATAAAACCGAGAAATATGTCACAATATGGGCAAGTGTGCACATCTAGCGTCAAGCAACACAACTATGCCAACTATATCACCATTGGTTTCATGTGGGACCTTGTGTGACCAATTTTCGTTGACGACGAGCATTGGAATGAGCAGTGTTGCCCTTAAGGGGGAGGAGAAGTCAATATATGAGGCTGATTTTTCGCCCCCCTCCCCCAACTCGAGTTGCAGCGCCCCTCCGTATTTCTTAGGTAACTAGGAGAGGCTGCTGCCCTCACCCTCCCCCATGCGCACGCCTATGATGAAGATTATAATTATTATTGGTCATTTCAGTACAAAGTCTCATGACTATATTTGACAACGCGAGCGAATAGATTGATTACAGTATTTTGTTTAGGAACGCACCTTTAACGAGTAGCTCTGCCGAATGCTCGGCTGACGCGTACTCGTTCGCGGCCCGGCATGTGTAGTTTCCGTTGAGGCGCGACGAGAGACGTGGCAGCGTCAGCGTGGACACGAAGCCGCCTTCGGGAGAGAGCACGGCTACGTCGGGAAGCGGGTAGGCGCCCGGCACCAGCGGCTTCCCGTCGCGCAACCACTCGATGCGAATAGGCGGGTCGCCGGCGTGCACGAGGCACGTGAGGCCCGCCCGCATTCCCTCGTGCAGGTTGGCCTGGAAGCCGAACGGCGTTATCTGCGGTCCGGCTGCGAATGGTCGAAGAACAAAAAAGTGCATAAGGATAGGGAACGAGAGCCACGTGATCATATCAGAGCGCGTATCAACAGGCTTGCGAATAATAAGAATATGTGGGATTTTGCGACCCGGAACAACGATATCATTGCGAGAGACTCCGTAGGGAAGGGTTCTGGAAAGTACGACCATCTCATGTTCTTTAACGCGCCCTGACATTGTACAATACACGGGCCTCTACCATTCGCGCATAGGCGGTGGCAACATGCGGGTGACTGGCGGGTACCAGGAGCCATAGAAGGGACGGAAAGTGCAAGAGTCACATTGTAATGTCTGCATTTGTCTTAGACTACTCGAAAGCGATGGCAATTTTATTCTTTTTTTTTTCACAGCCGATCGAAATTTATTTTCCCCCTTCCTACATCCTTCCCGAAGCTTTTTGCACCGGATGATGTTTTGCAATGCCTCCTAGATACGTCCACCTTTTACCAAGTAACAATTTATTGGTATGACGTCATCATGTGACGTTACATTGAAGCACTGTAAAGTCACGCACTTGACTTCCTGTTAGTTATGACGTCTCGCAGTGACGTCATCGCACGACGATTATTTTTGCGTCACTGTTGTTAAAGCCTCCGCCACTGACGGCAACAAGATATTGTGGGTTACATAATTTCTCGTTCGCAACTAATAAAACCGAAAGGCGTACCTTGCCGTGCTTCATTATTTCGCGCATTTTTTTCTACTCTATGCAAACCTGAGCATCAACGCAGTTTAACTACCATTAACAAACTTCTGCGTTTGACACAGCCTTGCTCGCAATTCCTGCATTAAATATGCCAGGCCAGACGAATACGATTCGTGTCCACACGACATGTTTAGGGCAGCGATGTCAGGAAGAACCTAATTCAACTTCGTATTCAGTGGGCAATCCTTCAAAGACAGCTCGTTCAAGCCACGCGTCCATTTGTCTCTACGTTTGAATTGCAGCGGCCAATGCATTGTTGTAGTGCATTCGCCATAGACCCGGCATTGTTATCGCTCTAATCAACGCAGAATGCACCCCCAATTATATGCCATGCTAAGGAGGGTGCCATTACACCCTTTGCATTGTAAATTGTATTCTCTCCAGCTCTCGTTTTTTTCTGTCCCCATGCCATTTCTCTCAAATTTATATTACAAAGACAATGGCCATTCTTAGAAGAAATGCAGCAATATATATATATATATATATATATATATATATATATATATATATATATATATATATATATATATATATATTGAATACCACTTGTATAAACAAATCAACGCACTAAATCCATCGGGCACTGAAGGCTAACGATGATTGATGAGGAATGCTAAATTTAAGATATTTTGAAAGCAATATTACCCGTTCCAAACTTTCACTAGCTTGAGACTGCAAACTCTGTATCTTCCATGTCATATTCTCATTATAAGGTACTAACGGTAAAGTGCTCGAAAAACTGTTCGTGCAATGTTTGGTCACTGCTCTCAAGTAAACCTTCATAAGCTGGCTTTCTAAAACGGCTTCAATGCCGTAATATGTACTGAGGTGAAACTTGCTCATTTCAGTTCAGCTAATATAATGAGGAAGTTTGTGCAAGTATAAAACATAAAAGACGTTCCAATGTTTTGTATGCTTAAGCACCGTCTTCAGGTCCTTAAAATATTGCCGAGAACAGCGAGAATCGATCAGTGTTGGGGCCCTTCGAGGCATCCTCATTGCCATGGCTGTGCAACTTCGGCAGTCGTGCTAGTTACTTGCATAGGATAACATAATCCTCACAACATCGCGGTCTGAGAGGTCTCAGCCCATGAAACACGCTTTCTCCATATATACGATCCCTCGGCTGCCTCTTGGCTGTCCTCAGAAAGCAGCACCATCCGCTCTTTTACCACGTCATATTCTCTGCTTAAGACTTGTTTGTCAGCATTGTTTTTATTTTACACGCTAACTGATCTCTCCCTATGTTATACTACCGTAAAGCTTAAACGTATTCTATGCAGCCTATTCATGGCTGTCACGTTCCCGTAGAGCTTTGTGAAAGGTGTCTGTGGTCGAAAATAGGCAAGTGCTACATCAATGTGCACTCGTATAACACATGTTTATTCTTTACAAGGAAAGGCTAAGTACGAAGCTGATGACTGCATGAGCAAGTTGACAACAGTAAAAATATCTGCCACCATTCCTTCCTGTGGACGTGTATGTCCCGCAAAGCATTACCAAACACCACACGTGCTGAAGAACAGTGGGGCGCATGTTTTATTATATAGTTAGAGCAACCATGTCATATTATTTTTGCCGTCACTTTGGCAGACTGTGATTGGCTTCCCATCCATTTAGAGCTCGATGAATTTCTTCTTCTGGTCAAGCATAACATTCAAGCTGTTTCTCTGCTGCAATGAATCTCGATGATTTACCTAGGGCAGTCTTAGATTGAAATGAACGAGTTTCTATACGAAATCGGAAACCACGTGAAGGAAAAAGGAACGGCCGTTGGACGTCATTCAAAACCTACGTGTGAAGTTCAAACCAGCTGCAACATAATCTTTAACGGCAACTCGTGGAAGGGTGTTCCAATTGTTCACAGGCACCTTAACATCCAGCATCCGGTTTTGATGCTCACTTTTTCCGCTTTCCAGTATTCAAAACAAGCAGTAAGCTCTATGTTGGGTGCCAGATTGCAAAGAAAGATATGCCATTTGTCTTTAGCTGTTCAATGGCCCCGGAATTACCCAGAACGGAGAGTCTTGTTGTGAGATTACAGTTGCTAAATAGTGTATACAGCAAAACGCTAGTGTAGTTGCACCTGTTAGCTTGTTTCGCTCTTGAATTCACTACAGCACATTCACTGGCTCGTCTGTACATCTCTCCGAATTTCCTTCCATAGCGCCCGAGGTCAAACTTCGACTTAGTTGTGACGTTCACAACTTCAAAGTGGCGCGAAGATTCCAACGCCAGTTATCTAGTTCAGCAAAGCTTCATTTACCGCGGATCCCAACTTCCCGACTACCATTCAAAGTCATAAACGAACAGTGGTGTCAGCAGGCGTAAATGTCTCGTTAAGGACTTAATTTTGCCGTATGGTCGATGATACCGGCCCTGGATGCGAGCGTTCCTCGAGTTCGTGGGTCCTGCACACCCCACCCCTCCGTAGCTCACTGCTTTGCTGTCATGATCCCGTGTCAACTGGCAAGACGTCATCTTGTCAGGTATCTCACTTATTTCTATCTTCTCTCCTTTCTATCATCTTTACTGCCCCTTCCACATTTTCAAAGGCACGGTGCTGTACCCCGCTCCCCCTATACGGGAGGCCAAAAATATCGTCATTTTTTCCCTTCCTCTTTCACCAAAATACTCTCTCTCTCTTCCCACTTCCTTGTAAAAGAACCCTTTGATAACGTATACTAAAGCTTTATAATGCTGCCTTATGTATTGCTCTCTCAAATTTCAGAGTGTAAGCCGACGGCGAAGCAACCAACGTCGTCCTGAAACAAGGTGACGGAACTGGGAAACCTATAATGCGCTTTGTTTAGCTTTCTGTTTTCACTGCGATAATTAAGTGCCTCCCACGTGGTGTGTTCCCACCAGTCAACGTTGCGGCATACACGTTAACAAGAAGTTGTTTACTGTGTAAAGTGAAGTGTTGAAATAACGTGCCCTTTATTCTTTCCTCATTGCTAAGCTGGCACTTATCAAGCTCGCTGCAGGCTTTGACATTTTTTTTAAATACATTCACCGCTCGGTATCAACGGCGGGCCTAACGCAAGGCGGAGGTGTGCGTAGCAATCCATTACGCGGTCGTTCATTGACAGGTAGTGTTTTTAACAAGGCTGCGCCGTTATGGAAGCACTTAGGTTGATTAAGACCCGCCTCTTTCGTGTTATATTTGTGCCTCTTTAAGTAAGCTCAGGGCCCACATATTTTAATTTTAAACATGCCATCGTGGAAACATGTTGCGGCCCCGCCAGTTTCTTCACGAAAGTTGTTCAATCTTCCTAGGCGTAACTACTAAATAAGCAATAACTAAAGAGTGTAGAATATAAAATAGACATCTTTTTATGAATGTTAGAAGGTATGTTGTTTCGTATACTTTGTCAACCTATCACGAAGCAATTCACTTATTACACAGGTGCTACTAACGAACTCGACCACCTTTTCTGTCATATTTTATTTCATGCGAAACGTTCAGCTAGTGTATCCGTAAACGAAAACATTGGGCAAACATCGCCACCTGACTTGTGTAACAAAATTCAAGCAATTAATTATAAAAGAACCTTTAAAGTCGGGTATGTCCAGCCCACAAGTGGCTTTCAAGATCAATTATTTTATGGCTATGTTTTTTGTCAAGTTTATCACAACCGAGGATGCATCAAGCTTTGCCGCCATACACGTATGCCACCAGAAGTGGGATATTGTATGCAGTGCTTTGGCAATAATAATAATAATAATAATAATAATAATAATAATAATAATAATAATAATAATAATAATAATAATAATAATAATAATAACAGAAAGAAGAAGAAGAAGATAATCATTCCTCTCAAAGTTGGACGTCGTTGGTTGAATGCTGATGATGTTCTCACATGTTTTATTTTTATTCATATCGATATTCATGCCTTTCTTTTATTAGGATACATGCTACTTCCTGTATTTGTACGGTTCTCATGACTACTCTGTCTATTGATCTTTAGTTTTTTTTCGCGATTGCTTAAATAACACTTGTAGAATATAGTCCTGAAGCTGTTTTCTTTTTTTTTTTAGAGGGCCAGGCAGGCCGCTCCCGCGTAGGACAACCAGTTGGACATAGGGCCTTCTGAACAGCCCTTAATTGGTCTTTATGTCTAGTACCCTTTTACGCAGATACACATTATTTGCGTTTACAACTGTGAACAGCAGTTAATACTGGAGGGTGGTTCAACCAGCGAACGAATCATGTTTCACTCACTGCGCACGAACAGCGATGTTGTCCGATGGAGAGCCTGGGAGTCCGGTCCATGAACGGTGCACGTGTATTGGCCTTGGTCGTGCTCGCGGTCCATATTGTGGATCTCAAGTGTTCCGTTGGGATACACCATTTGGCGCTGATTCAGCGGCAACCGCCGACCATCTGCGTCATTTATGAACGTAAAACTGAAATCCGGCACGGCGTTAAACCGTGTTTTAAATGTTGATAAAGTAGGATGCTAAACATCGCTGTTTTGATATCTGTGTTACGAATGACACCTTTGTGGGCTGTGATTAACCAGTGAAGCTAAAAACAACCTTTTTATTCTGACCTTTTTTTCACACCAGAACCACAATTCGGTTATAGTGAATGCCCTGCGGGGAAAACTCCGGGTCAACGATGACCATCTGAGATCCACTGACTGGCTACTACTGTACAGAGTGGGATAGAGAATGCTACTTTTCGGTGTCATACTATTTGGTCGCCAGGGCAGGAATCGAACTTTTGTTTTCTGTGCTAGTATTCCTGCCTGTAACATTTTAGAAAACGTTGCTTTGCACTTAGCGATAGTTTCAAGCTCCATTTTCGAATTATACAAGACGCCCACCTTATTTGTTCAGAGCTTCTTTACGGCTGACAACGAAGAATTGTGATTGCAGCCTCAGTATGAGCTCCAAAAAAAACGCCGTAAGCTAGGTCACTCTGCTTTGAGGCCACTTGAATCTGATCAAATTAACTAAAAGAACCCGTATGCCATTATGATAAGAAAGATGCCTGGGCTAGTTGCTGATTGGGAATCAACATATTCGCACAGCGCAAGACAACGAGTAGTAGACAACGAGTAGACAACGACCGCTCTTTCTGGCCTTGTCTATTCTTCTGTAGTTACGTCGTAACTATTCGTTGTCTTGCGCTGTGCAAATATGCTGCATGCCAAGTTTGTACATAGCCATAAATTTCTCGAAACAATGGATGACAAGCATGCCACAAGCTGAAAATAAACCGTAATGCCAGTCTCACCTACTGTGAAATAAACAAAACCGTATACGTAATTATTTAAATAAAAAATATGAGCCCATGATTTCTACCTACATTGATGGCGGAGGCAACGTCGGTAGTAATACCACACGCCCTCAAATCCTGCAACGCTGTACTATAAGAACGTCATTTAAACAGGATTGAAAAGGGGCAGCCAGCCAATGGTCTCTTATGCCGCCAATACGAGGAGAGTACGTGAACCAAAAGGGACATGTGGACGCGTACATAGGCCACAAAACACTGATTGCGTATACATGTGTTTTTGCATATGTGTGCTCGAGTGTTCTATTTTCCATGCGCTGCTTTGTATGTTTTACTTCAAGATACGTGTTCGACTTTTACTCAAGAGCTAAAAGTAGCTGGTGCCATAATTTTGCATCAACATCTGCTTATATATCATCTCAATGAAAAAAATTAAACCTTGCTTAATTTTACTTGACTGTCGATTTGCAGAGCGGTGGTGGGTCTCGCGCCACACCATAATTAAACCCGTTAAGCGTGTTAGGCAACTGGAACGGATTTGTAATGATGGATAAGGCGTTATCATTATTACATCTCTCTCTACATTGCCCTCCTCCGCTCCTAACCCTCCACCAGGCATGCAGCGTCTGTCTTCTCAGACTTCGTGGTGTTACCCAGCGTAGCCGTTCTTTTTTACGCGGAGATCTTAGCTTTAGATGATTGTGGTAACTTGATATTTTTGAAGGAAACAATGGAAGACACTTAATTAAAATGGCATGCTTGGGTGCGTTAGTAATTAACACATCGTTAAAGGTGGGCAGTGCGACCCAGTTGAAAGACAAAGAACGAACACGACACAAGGCTTCCTGTCACGTGCACTTTTTTATTTGTCCTGGTCGTGAAAAACTAAACGCTCTTGAGAAGCTTGTAAAAAAGGCGTGTACAAAACACAGCTTTTCTAAATTAGTATTACGTAACCCAATTATTATTCATATCGCTGCCACAGTGGAGCTTGTGCTGTTTATAATATGCACAGAGGAGAAAATAGCAGGTATAAGACAGAGTAGCACGGAAATTTATTTACGTTCCTATTCATGGGATGGTTTTAAAGGAAGAACAAAAGTGCCACATTGTGCATAAACCGGGCAAGACGAAACAAATTATGTCTGGCCTCTCTGAAGCTGTGTGTGTGTTTCTCACTACTCTTATCTTATTAACGATAAGTAAGTGGTTGTGAAGCTCTCTCAAGAGGTATCTTCATACCACGCCGTGAACACGATTGGACTGCAATGTAGAGTAACGCTGAGTTTTTGTAATAAAATTCAGGCAAGTCATTGTAAAAGACCTTTAAAGTCGGGTATATCCCGCCCGCAATTTAGATATCCAGAAAAAAAGGCACGTCAGATTTCGTTTGACATGGTCCCACTGTATCTGGCTTTGTCTTTCCCACTGTTTTTCTTAATGATGTTAATGCTAATCTGCGAGAGTACGCATAGAGGAAGCGGGCTGGGTGGGGGAGGGGGTGGACAGTTTTTTTTTGTTCAAATGAGGATGACAAGTCAGTGGCTTAGCTTTACTCTGCCTAACCTGTCCCTTCATTACTAAAGGTCCAAAGTCCATAATCTAGAACTATTTCTCTCAGGCCATGCTGGTTATCGACCATGGTGATGACTGAAGAACCCAGAAGAGCTGGTAACCTTTACTTTCAAAAAGCTCAGTAACAAATGCTGGTGATTCTCGGAAGCATGTCATCAATGGATTATTATTGTAGCATTCAATTGTAAAGCTTGCCTGTTTTTGGGGTGGACAATACGAAGAGGGGGAGGGGTATGGGCGCTGTGGTTAATCTTGCTCTAGGTATACTAAAACTACAAGGTATAAAGAAAACAAGGGTGGCAGACGTCTTCAACAGCAGTTCATAAACAAGGACAGTTCATACCCAGATTATGAACATCCAACTGGCCCAATTATCTACTTTAATTAGTGAGGCTTGCCTCTCCCCTCTCAGCGGTGAATCATGCACACACCTTCGTCATTATCTGAAGCGAACCTCACTCACCTTTGTCCCAGTCTATGTTGCCGTAAGGGTATCCGCCGAAAGGGCACTGCACTGAGAACGTGGAACCGGACAAGGCCGAGAGGTTTCCCAGTGCTCGGACGAAGATCGGCCCGTAAACGTTGAGTCGAGCCGTGTGCAACGCCGTGCCTGCGTAGTTGGACGCCTCGCAGACGTACGAGCCGCCATCTTGTACTTCGGTGGACGAAATGGACAGCGTGCTTGACACCTCAGCTCCATGGGCGCCAGAACTAGCGTCCGGGCCTGTAGTACGAACACGGACGCGGCCGTGGCGATTGTCGATGGGCCACATGCCGTCCAGTGACCAGTTGATGCGTGGAGGTGGGTCACCCATTGCCACGCATCGCAGTGACATGGGCTTTCCCGGCCGCACGGTAACCTCATCGAAAGTTGATTTGAACCTTGGAGCTTGATCTAAAGACGAAGTCCATGAAAAGGAAAAGAAAACAATAGTCTTATATTACTGATCTCCATCCCACGTGTCAACCGCACAAGAATAGTAGTTTCAAAGGTGAGTCTTCCCACAACCTCCCCAAAAGCTAAGGAAAAAAAACAGTCTGTCGAGTGGCGGTGGTTACATATGAGAGGGTATTTGAACCCGGGAATTTCACACCTCATTCACCGAGATGAATGCAAAACGAATAAATTCAAGAATTGTGGTTATGGAGTTACTCAGTAAACATACCATGCGAATGTCGAAAGATAGCAAAACAAAGCTGGGGCCTAGCAATCACCTCCGCGCTCCCTAAATACATTGTCGAACAACTCTGACAGAACACGGGCTTTAGGCTTAATCAGTTGGCAAAAAAGTCGCCAGGATTCAAGAAGTTCCGGCTATCACCTGAGTAAGGCCTTTTGTTCAGCCCACAAACTCGCAGTACATTTAAATATAGTTCTCTGACCAATCGAATCTATTTAATATAACGCTTCTTTTACTTGTGCACGAACCATGCGCCTTAAGTAGCTTTGCACCAGTTGTTCCACATTGCAGCTAAAATTAAAGGGGAACTATTCAAGGCTTTATACTGGTAAAACTTGATAGCTTGAAGACTTTCACTATTGTGTTATTACATGCCACGATCCGATACACGAAAAATCGAAAAGCAGAAATAATCAACAAAACATCCTCTTTTTCCCAAGGTGTCAAGCTGCCGTACAGACATGTTCGTTAACCTCACTGTACTCCACCTTCGTTTTTTGTCTCGCTAGTTCTTTATAAAGGCACATGTGTCTGAGAACGAAATTCCCACAAACTAAGCAAACATACGATCAAAAACATGCTTGCCGCAAATATATTTGTCTTTACCTTCATTTAATTAACAAATGCTGTTGAAAAAGAACTGTTGCCACGCGCCTCGCAGCGTGAATATCTCAGAATGAAGAACTTTGTTTTTTGCCGTATTAATTATTTTCTGAGAAGAAAAAACATCAAATGCGAATAACCGGCCTCTGATGCAGTCCGCTAATTGTTATGGCTGACTGCGTATGCTCGTTCAATGGTTCTTTTCACACGAATAATATAGTGCCCTCAATTTTCGCGCGCTTAGTATCTACAGTGGCAGATAAGGCATGTTCCAGCTATATCACCAAATAGTTTGTTCTCTAAAAATTGAAAAACTATACCTGCCACTGATGCGTGATCTTATTCTTCAGTGTTTTACTTTGCTTTCTTTAAACAAGTAGATCAGTGAAGTGTTTTCCCTTCAAAGACCTGTTTACCCTATTTTGAATTCATTTCCATTCAAGAGCAGTTTAAGTATACGCAGGATTACGAATGTATTCCTCCAAGCTCTAGACCTTTGTTAGTAGAACAATCAGTTCTTGAAAGGCGACTTGATCTGTCTTTGCACAAAAAATTAGTGAAGGCCTTATTGAACTTTTTGCGTGGTAGTGGCCTATTATATAGGCTATAGCACCCCAGCTCAATTTCTTTTTTTTTTATTTTTGCGCGTTGATTTCGTTCTTCGCTTTCTTTCCCATCCTTCTTCCCCATTCTACTTTCCCTTAGTGCAGGGTAGCAAACCGGATGTTTCAAATTTTGGTTACCTTTCTTGCCTTTCCCTCATTCAATTCTCTCTCTAGACCTTTCCGTGGTAACAGTCAACTTGTACGTCTAAACTGGGTAGCCAATCAGCATGAGCACTGTTTTACTTGTCTTTCGATAATTTTACTGTCTCACAAACAATGATAGGCAAATAAATGAAATTGTGATTGCAGACAGAGCCCTAACTAAGTTTTGCCGCTAATCATTTGTGCTCTAAAATGCAAATAATAGAGCTCAATCGCGGAAACGACTATCAGTCTGGGTGAGTTTCACTGCAACGCAAATAAAGGTACACGCTAATGCTTTGCGACCAGATTAAATGAGACACAGATTCAAACTTTTTCTCTTTGGGGCACCAACTAACTCTCTCTTTCCATCTATGCAGCGCTTTCACAGGCCTGCACCCTTTTAATGCAAAAACCAAACACAACGTTACTACATTTTCGCCATAGCGTCAGCTTTCCTTCTGGGTCTTCGCATGCCCAACATTCTACGAACGTGCACCCAATACGGAGAACGATGTGATGGCTAGCGGCTGAGCGTTTTTTGCCAGCACAACAGTGCTGGTCTAGCGAGATAATTTGCGTCCAGTGTTTGCAGCGAGGCATAGTTTGTCTCAGCGTGCACCGGTGACTAATACAATATTTGTACGATGAGCAGAGCAAACGAAAGTTCTCTCACGGTCCGTAATTAGATCCGCTGTGCCACAAATATGTCTCACGTTTTCTACACTCTTCGCTCGGACCGAACATCTATATACAAGCGTTCGAGTTGAGTGCACATCGCTTCCAATAGCGTCTCGTGTTCTCGCGTTTGTTCTCCGCCATCAGGACAATCCATTTGTTGGTATGTGGAGTGTGCGCCATGGTTCGATAAATTCATTACAGCCAATGAGTTGCAGTCGTACCACAGTAATAATTATCCCGACGGTTGCCATATGCAATCAGTTATCTCGGTATCTACGTTTTTTTAATGCAAGCTTCAGCAGTAATGCTCTCGGTTTTAGACTATATCCTTCTGCTGGTGACCATGAGGCCTCGAGTTGTATTAGTCTAACCGTAACGGAAGGTACGTGTAACATACTCATCCGTACATCTAGATGCTGGTTGAAGACCTGAACGTCGGTTGTAGTTTAATGCTTTAAAAAATGTGCGCTTGCATGGAAACTTTAAAATTAGTGTATTGATTTCCCCACTACTTCTTTCTGTGATTTGTCCACGCTTTAAAAACGACTGTGAGGAGATGATTGAGCGCATTCTGTGTCACTGCCCATCCTACCAGATTCCACGGTGTGTTGTAAAAGCCCAACTACATCCCCTAAATGCAAGATAACTACCAGAAAACATGATTCCGGGATCTTGGTCGACCGTTTCGTGCATGTAAAACACCACGAAAGCTGCTACCAAGCTACCTGAAGGCAACTGAACTTCACGAATTTCTATGACTACCAGTGCGAGTTTGTATTATGCCCTTAAAGCTTACGGAACACTCTTCTTTTTCCTTAGTCTATAGTTTATTGTTTTTTTGCTCTTTTGTTTCACTTTCCTTCCCGTCATGCGTTGTAGTCAACCAAGCCACAGCTTGGTTAATCTCCCTGCTTTCTCTTTCGTCTTCGCCTTCCTCTCGCTTTCTCTTTGTAAAATACTCAGTCATCTGCTGTCAAACACATCGGCACACCAAAGTGTTGAAGAATGGTGATTGCGGCACAATCACGCACGAGTACATAATAAACGGACTCCCTCACCGCCAACAATGAGCTCGGCTGCCGCCTGTATGGTGCTCTTGGGGGACAGCCGCACGAAGCACTGGTACATTCCTTGGTCCTGGCGCCTGATCGAAGGCAGGTGCAGCACACGCGAACGGCCCATTCCCCGCCACCGACTGCTGCGCTGCGGGCATCACGCGGCGTCCGTTGTGTCTCCACTCGAGGCTCGTCTCGTCCAGCACACCCCAGTCCAGTCCGGAGGCGTTGCAGCGAAACGCAGCTGCGTGGCCGACCTCGGCTCGGCACGTTCGCCGGAGTCACTGTCACCCAAGGCTTCGCTGCGCACAGGACGGCAACACAAAATTGGCAGGGGCCTTATTCATTGATTAGGGCGTCTGATAGTTGCACTCGTACCTCAGTGTTCATAGGGCTGATGTTGCGTTCATTGAGTTAACTTGGTGCTTCGTCGCACCGCTCAGTGGATCTCGGAGCCCTTCGTAGCAAGAATAACGTGGTTGAGATCTGCTCTGCTAGGCGCCGCCACTATCCCAACCACTCTCATGAAAACCATATTCTCTTTTGCATTAGCTCGTTCCATAAGTTTTAACTGAGTATTCTGACAGTAAACAGACCCTCATCTCAAGTACACTCATGCTCCAATGTAGCGTGTATACATCTTAAACCAGAACAATCGACTTCGTGGCAGTCTTATTTTTTTTAAACACACTTTACGAATATTTTAAAAACAGGAAATAAATGCTGTAGTGCAAGTGCAGGGAAAACAATATCACTGGTTGCTGTTACCATAGAGTATCCGGCCATACTTATCAAAGTGGACTATGGCGCTATTGTCTGTGGAAGCTGCAAAGCACGGCATTTCAGCCAGCACGGGATTGATGAGCAGTGCAAAACAAAAAAAAAAGCCCAGTGTTCGTTTTTTTTGTTTGGCTCTGTCTTGCTTTACGGGGCCGGAAGCCACTTTGTCAAAATATGAAAATCTGCCAATGTTCAGTTTTTTCCCTTCACGGAATTAGCCTTTTATTCTAGCAAATTTAAATCAGTTCACGAACTTCCCAATGATACATACTTTTCGAAATCAAATGCAAAAACACAAGAAAAAAAAACGAAGGCACAAGTGCGTTAGAAGCCGCTCGAACGAATACTAGGCAAATTTGTGTACATACTCCTTATTCCCCAGGTGGCTCAAGGATCGCACAGCCAGAATCCCGGTTAGTTACATTTAAGAAACTCTATGACTGATGCCTCCGATAAGCTTTCGCACTTTTGTCATCATGCTGTGATCATCAGTAATATCGCTGTATTGCAGTTGAAGTGGCATCCGTACACTGCCATTGCAGAAACACTTACTCTACGTGAACAAGTACTCCCGTCTTTCTCTGAATCGGCATTGTGAAAGCCTCACCTTGCCTCTTAAAAAGCCTTCAAAATGCTTCGCGTGATATACAAAACTGACAATATATTCGAAACATCTCGGGTATCCCTCATTCTCTACAAATGTGCAGGTTATCTGTCTAGGGCACCCGAAATATATAGCGAGTATAAGTGAACTATCGGTTCACTTATACTCGACATGCTTCGAATGGTAATTTCAATCTGCCCAAATGTTTTAATGTTTACGGAGAAAGACTGATACAGTTTAGTGGAACAAAAATATGGAACACGGTCCCCCTAGAGATTAAAACGGCACGTAATTTCAGCATGGCATGTAAATCATTTTTTCTGTGGAGTCAAGACATGTAAGCATGTGTGTGTGATTCGATTTTCATTGTATTTTTTTAATAAGTGCCTATGTATAGAAACTAGCTGCAAGCTAATAAGTATGCATATCTGCAAGAAAAAATGTGTTACTGTGTTATCTGTATCACATGATTGTTTTTTTTTATGTTGTTACCTCAGAGCTGACCTGTACACTTTTTTATGTTGCACATTGTATTGGACCGTCCACTAGCCACTTTAGGCTATCGGTCCAAATAATCCCTGTAATTGCATATATCTATTTATGAAAATAAAGCTTCATTGATCGGTTTAAAAAGGCCAGACGAACGTACTGTGCCTTTAACACAGCTAACATTTTTCCCAATCAATATTTTCTATTGTGGGAAAAACCTTCCATCCGAATCCATGTGAAACATATTGTTCCTATTCAGGTTGTCTGCTATCGACCGTGCTGCTATAGACCGTGATCGAAAAAACGCATGTTTTTGTTGTATCTTTATAAAGAGCAGCTGCTATACTTTCTCCTGCCAACTGCCTTTTTTGTTTCTCGTTTTGCATCGAAGAAGGCCATAGCAACAGCGACTTGAAAGGAACTACGTGGTGCTCAGAGGATACATGGCACCAAGAATTGATCAGCAATCTTCCCCACATTAGGTATCTTTCTCTGCGTTGTTTCAAACCCTAAGGAATACGAGGCACATACAGGCTGATGTTATGGAGCTCTCACATTAACACGTTCTGCTTCAACTGCGTGTGACTTGTAGCTGCAACCGCAAAGTTTTCAGTGTAATATGAGCCATTGTGCGTTTTTTTTTTCAGATACAACAAGCAACAAAAATAACATGTCACGTACCACACGTGCGCTAACAAAAGAAATGCAGCAATAAAAAGCAAGCAACACATAAGAAACTTGGCATAATACTGATACGCAAATTTTATACACAAATCACGCAATCTACGAATATTAACAGGAACAACAATTAATGCATCGTATATCATAACAAAACGACATACTTTCCGAACACTAATAAATATATCATGGCCCAATTCTACCTACTCTATTTACAAAATATAAATTAGTGATGGTAAGTTTTCTTTTTTATAACTTCTTTAACCTTCTTTTTAAATGTCCCCAGACTGACGTCAAACTACAAGTCATTTTGTAATTCGTTAACCATTCGCATTGATTGGTAATGCAGCATTTGTTTACATATTTTTTCCTGGTTCTCGGTAAACGCGCCAAATTTTTCTTTTAATTCTAAAGACTCCCTTTTGTCATAACAAGCATAGATAAACACAGGTTCATCACACATAGATAAACAAGTTGCACTCATGCGTGAAATTTAACAAAGATCAAGAAAACGGTCGGTAAGTTTCTTCTAGCAAGATAACGTTTATCATTTTTTTGTTTATACCACATGTTTTCGTGTACCTCTTGAAGCAGTGTAAAATAATATGATTGGTTGGCCTTTAACATTTCATGTTTATATAAGAGCACGGAAGTGCGCAAATGGTCTACTCTACCCTGGTAATTTTCATAACAGCGAAGTATTGTCTTTTGCAGCATAAAAAGTTTGTTGTACTTTTTCGATGTTGTCGTACCCCATACTAGTACACCGAAACAAAGTCTCGAATAGAACAGGGCATCGTACAAATTTTTCTTCAACCACTGAGGAATAAGGGAACCATTTCTGTACGTGCATCATACCGTTCTCGCAAGTTGCCTAACTGAATGAGCAACGTGGACGTTCCACTTTAAGACTTCACTAAACGACAGCCCAAGAAACTTTGGTGTTCTTTTTGTTCGATGGCACTCCCGTCAAAGCTTATCTTTATGTCATATGTAACACGTTTATTTATTGGACGAAATATATGTGTCACAGGTGAAACACATTTTATCTGCAACAAGGAACAGCGAGAACACAGGCGAGTAATTTTAACGCTTCAACGTTAAAAAAAAGCTACCATATAGGCAGCGTTTACCGGATGAATGAAAATAATTATAGTCTGTGTCCTAGCGGGAATCGAACCCTACCATTCTGCGTGGCAATTAAGCATTCTACCCCAAAGCCATGCCTGGCCTTGGGTATACCTTTCAAATAGACCCTAATGTTCGTGTGACGTCAATCGTGGATTGCAGTACTGGCTATCCAACTCCATAAACATAACATATGTGCTTCTATGATACAGCCGTCATATAGGGTTAACGTATATTGTAGTTCAGTACCACCCGCTGAAGTAGATTTGTGTAGCAGCGTTGACGGACTATAATCCTGGAGCGCACCAGCGCAAACACCACCGCTTTATATCAGCTTACCGCTTCTGATGTTTCTAATACCCATTTTGCTGATGGCATTGTTACGCAACTGTAAGCTAACTGCTAATATGAAATATATGCACCGGTTTAAGGTATGTGTGTGTGTATTCGTACATATATTTAGCACCACTTGTAAACGCCTGGCTTAAGGAAAAAATAGGGCGTGGGTCACGGGTATGTACTACGTCCTCACTCTCCTTTTTCCCTGTCTCCAACAGCTGAGCGTTACTCTCCACTTCTCTCCTACCACCTGCTTGCACTCTCTTCCCCAGTAGGCATGCACGTCGTCCCCTCTGCCTCCTTCCTATCTCCTGCCTATCCTATCTCCTGCCTTACAACGCCGACGCAGGGAGCGTCTGCTAGGCTACGCTCACTCCTCTCTCTCCTTTAGGCATTCCTCCCAGTGGCTGTGCCGCCTGTGGTTAGGAGTAGCTTTTACAAAGGCGTACTCCTTTCGCATAGGAATGGCGGATAGCTCCCGATGTGAATGGTGCGACACTGACGAGGCAATAGAACATCTACTGCGTTCATGTGAACGTTTTGCGAGCGAACGCAACTTGCTACGCGAAACGTTAGAGACACTAGATAGTAGACCTTTTTCCGAAGAGAAGATACTTGGCTCATGGCTCTACGCGTCGCTGGCCAGCAAAGCGACGCGGGCATTGCTAAGTTTTCTAAAGACGACCGGACTACGCGACCGCTTATAATCGTGCAATGGACAAGGTCACATCTACACACACGTTGCCCTTCACTTCTCTCTCTCTTCTTCTTTAATCCCCTCACACCTTCCCCCAGTGCAGGGTAGCAAACCGGACGTGCGTCTGGTTGACCTCCCTGCCTTTCAATTCTTCCCTTCCCCCTCCTCCCTCCCAGTGACGTCTCACAACGATGACGCTGGCAGCGTCTCCTAGCAAATATCTTGATTAAAAAAGTCGTAATTATCCATGGAGTCAATGACGATGACTGGGGCGAAGCGTTCGTCCATCCGTCCGTACCTCCATAAGTCTGTTCGTCTGTCTGTTCATCCGTCCATCCTTCCGAGCGTTTGTTCGTCTGTCTGTGACAGACGGACACTTCGCCCCACTCATCTTTAACTGCATACATTTCTATACAAGAATCACTAACGCCATCTAGTGGTATGTTCAAGGACATATGCACACAACGCCATCTACTGAGCAATTGTTTAAACTAACTAGAAGTTACTACTACTACTACAACGTACTACTATACGAGAGAATGACCCACACGCTAATGAGCTCACCCCTACAACACCGACTGCTCGCGCCGCACAACCGTTCACTGACCACTCCGTATGTATGGACACTGGATCTTGACCTTTCAGGTAATGCCGGTGGGAGATTTCTCCGAAGTGCGTTGTTGAACAATGAAAATTCGCAGCGTGCGCGTTAACTGAAAAATTACACCATCACCCCGAAGGGAACCATAGACTGATGCAGAGCATCGCACGATTTTCCGACACAACGTTGACGCGATGTGTGGTAATGTACCAAGTTAACAACGTGATAACACGCAAGGTTCACCGCAAACCAGTAAGCACCGCCATTGGAACACCAATGAAACTCTGCGTTGCTCCGCATCACCCCGTGGATTCCCTTCGAGGAGATGGAGTTTTTTTTTCTTTCAACGTCAACATGATCGAGGAGAGCTTGGTGTCTGCACGTGTCTCTGGCTATTCCTCTTCTTTATTATGATAGTTTTCGTCATGGATATCTCAACTATCACAAAACAGCGCAAAACTTGACCTGAACGTACCTGCCACACCTATCGCACTACAAAACTTACACTTGATTGAACGTTGACAAATGCTAGCCTAGTATTATAATATAATGCGCACGCAACAACCATATTCGCACACACAATGCTATGCAATATCGCACATTGCTGTCCCATCCGACACTGGAACCATGCCGCTTGGTGCAGAGTATCATGCAAGATACTCACGTGTGACGACAAGTTCCAGGTCGACCTGGGCGTCGCCGACGCTGTTAGACACGACGCAAACGTAGGAGCCTCCGTCACTGGATTCGACTTCTCGAAACTGTAGAATGCCTGCCACCTGGCGCACGCGGGGCCCGGACTCCACGGGCAGCATCCGCTGACCATCGCGCTTGTACCAGCTGTTTTAAAGGAAGTGGTCGCAGGTGACATCTTTGCAGTCAACATATGGAGCAACCCTCAAAACATTTGTCACGTGATCCAAATTACGTGATTTGCGGGATAGCATTCACTGCATTTGAATAGAACTTGATAAGTCTGTAGAGGTAGCGTCCAGACGGCCGGAACAAGATATGCAATCTCATGCAGCCAATCCGACCGACTGTCGTATTGGCTGCGCGACTAAATAATAGTACCACTCTTGCACTCAGCACTGTTGTCGGAAGGCGGGGTCACCGACAAAGAGGCTCAGGACGTTCGCCTGGGTGTTCGCGGTACCCAGCGAGAATTTTCGTAAATGCCTGATTCAATGTCGATTGACAATTTACGTGACATTAACCGCCCTTCTCCTATTTCTTGAGAGTCACTCCCCCCCCCCCTCCCTGCACACAGGCATATATGTTCGCATCGCGAATTCTCTCTCTAAAGCTTGAACTTCCTCGTAAATATCGTCAAATAGTTTTACTTATTGCTCAGCCAAACATAGCATTATAATATGTGACGACCAACGTTCGATCAACAAATTTCGTAGTATTCACATTAGGAGAAAAAGTATTTATGGTTAGTACTGAAACCACTTACCATGACTCTCTTTCAGAGATGAACTAACGTGCCAGAGTTCTTGGGGCGGAGTTCGTGTTTATTTCAGATTGTGAACAGCGGATAGAATCTTTAGAACGGGGTGGCACAGCAAAAGCAAAGAGCGCCGTTTTTTTAATGCTTTGGTGGTGAAAGAATTAAGTTAACTCACGCAGAAATTAAAAAGAAGTTTGGCCTTCTTAACCGCCATCAGTGTTGTAACTCGTTGCGAGAGGATAGATGTGCCATTTATGCTAGATATTTTTTTGTGACCTAAGAATAATCCTTTTGACGAGATGCTTCTCCGCGAAATGCTGTAAATAAATATAAATGAACATATTTCTTCATTACAGTGAATTTCTGCATTCTTTATATTGGTTTCAAGTAATTGTTACATGGAAGAGTTGGTAGAAGCATTGTGTAGCATCACTACACTAGGAGCTATGTATATCTCAATATATATATATATATATATATATATATATATATATATATATGGTGGTTGAGTGGCCGTAGCGTTGCATATAGTCAAGTAGATCCTCCGTGAGCAGTCAACGTGGTTTATTTCGACGTTTCGGCCTAGTCTGGCCTTCATCACGATTAAAGGTACAGTTTGTTGGTGCTCAGCTTTATACAATCTCAAATTACAGGGAAAGAAAAAAAAGGACAGAAAAAAAGAAACGAAAAAGAAAAAAGAAGAAAAGGAAAAGAAAAGAAAAAAAAGAAAAAAAAGAAAAAAAAAGAGAGAAAAAGAATATAAGGTGGACTCCCTCCGGGCGCCCCTTCCACTCTTCTTTCCACTTCCCCCTTCATCTATCTCCCTTTTCTCCCCTTCACTTTTCTGATGTCAGCGGTCTGTGTATGCTTCCTTTCACTCACGCATTCTTCCCGACCAGACGGCGCCTCTTGGCTCTGGTGGTTCGGTTTGGGGCAAAAAAAGATGTTTTTTAGGAAGTTTTAAACCTTTAACTACTCGGCGCCCCGTCAACATTTCGTCGTAGAGAGAGCATGCCGCGTATTGTGGCAGAGGCTGGTAAGCGGGCTTTTTAGGAAGTTTTAAGCCTTTAACTACTCGGCGCCGAGTATTTAGAGGCTTAAAACTTCCTAAAAAAGCTCTTTTTTTGCCCCACACCGAACCGCCAGAGCCAGGAGGCACCGTCTGGAAGAATGCGTTAGTGAAAGGAAGCATACACAGACCGTTTACATCAGAAAGGTGAAAGGGAGAAAGTGGAGAGAGATGAAGGCGGAAGTGGAAGGAAGAGTGGAAGGGGGGCGCTTGGGGGGAGTCCACCTTATATTCTTTTTCTCTTTTTTTTTTCTTTTTACCTTTTTTCTCTTCCTTCCCTTTGTTCTTTTTTCTTGGTTTTCTTATTTTTCTTTTTTCTGTCTTTTTTCCTCTTTCCCTGTAGTTTGAGATTGTATAAAGGTGAGCACCAACAAACTGTACCTTTAATCCTGAAGAAGGCCAGACTCTAGGCCGAAACGTCGAAATAAACCACGTTGTGACCACTCACGGAGGATCTACTTGAATATATATATATATATATATATATATATATATATGCAATCTGTGCTTTCGTGTGAAGCTTTTTAACCCCTGATTAAAGGTCACGCACATTAAAGATCTGATCTGACAAGATTTTATCGTCTGAGTTTCTTAAATTTCACCGCAGGCAATATCTATAGCGTAGTTCACCTGGCACATCCAGCCAATCTTCTGAACCTAACTCGAATTGAATTTCAAGTTTTCTAAACAAGACAGCTATCAACTCAACTGTCTCTTGAGTATCAACTCAAAGCCCGAGGGGACTGTATTTTCTGAAATTGATGTTACGAGATCGACGTTAAGAAACGAATGACCAGCCTTTTGCTCGAACAAACGTTTGACGTGTAATTTTCTGTAAAAGAAATAATGTCATTTAGCTGCACAAACGTACTTTCGATACTAGTTGCTTTATCAACAAAAAAGGTTTAAAATGGCAGGTGTGAGGCAATACTCTCAGCACACGTACAATGCACACTTACGCGCGAATTATCGTAACTTAAGGGCAAGTGTGCTCTACCACAAAAATAAAAGTTTCGTTATAAGACTCGGTTATCTGAAGCCGCATTTCGGTAGCGTAATGGCTGTACCCGAGCACTTGGATTGAGAGTCGAGACAGTCACATTCGGTATTGCTCGGAGTCATTTCGTTGTCTGTGATGCGCTAGCGTGTGAGGAAAGACAAATCTGCCAACGAGACATGAACTGGAGGTAACGCTTGCCCGAGTGTGAGCTGACCTATAAGATGGCACTGGAAACCCCTCGGCAGCGCACAGCAACTCGGCTGGCTGGCCAGGATCGCTGAGCACACGGCTACTGCGGTGCACGATAGATGGCATCTGCATCGCCACAGGCTCTGCAAGGAGGAAAAAAAAAGATGCTCACAATCAGTGGGCTCTGCTTTGTTTCAGGAATGAAGATACATTTCTTTTTGTTTAGCACGAACCTTAAGAGAAGCGTTACTATTGCGAAACGGTATCATTGCTCTAACACAAAGCGCTATTCCGGCTTATGGCTTCAAAGAGTAATATATACACTGCCAATGCTTGATTGCGATCGCCTTCGTGAAAAAATAACAGACTTTTTTCAAAGCGTTGCTTGTATTAGATATCTTCATCTTTTTTGTTGCCCCCACCTATTAGGTGGTTTCGCAATGTGTATATCTTCTACATATTATGGTAATGCCCGTGCCTCGCTGAATAAGTCAGGGAGGCTCTATCATTAGAAAAGAAATTCCGCGCGTTGTCCTTTCTGCAGAATGAAGTCATCCTTGTGTTTTATTTTCACCTAACTCTACGGTCCTAACATGTTACTCAACAGCATTCATAGATTTCCTGCTGAATTCTCAAAAGATACGGGGGGGCTGGTGCTTACGAAAACGTCTCCCGTTTGGCAATGTACATGCGAGTGTGTTTGTTCAGCCGCAACAGATGTCGTTGAAGCAGCAAAGACATATTTTACCCTTCGACGCACGCAAGACCACAATTTGCCTCCATGATTGCTACCACAAAATATCAGATGACCTTCGAAACGAAATCCATCGACTAGGTAAACGAGCGCTTTAAGCCCGTTCAGGCGGTGTTTTTTCTTTTTGTTCGATCGCAAATCACGCATTTGTCATTGACAATATTAGTATACTTTTTTTGTGCGATATTCACGTGGCTGCTAGTTTTGAATAAGAATATCAAATTAGATCGAAAGGCCAAGCGCAGTCGTGTGTGAAATCGGCTTCTTATGCAAGAACTGGCTGATCAAATATGGCTCTCTGAGAAGACCCTCCGCATAAAGCCAATCTGAAACGAAATAATACTGCCAGCAAAACATTTCGTTTCTGTACGCCCTTAAAGACGTGTGCATGGATGTTTTGAAATATATTGAGTTTTGTGCAATATAGGAACCCACCGATTACCGAATCCGTCGCTATGCGCTTGGAAAGAGGACTAATAAATTTATCTGCGACTTTTCTTTGTAGAATTAATTTTTTTGGCCCCTAACTATAGTGAATCTCCTGTTTCCCAAAGACGCATTGTACACATATCCAAATGGCTTGAGAAAAAACACGCCGACATCTGTCTTTTCCTGCCGTTTTGCTCTATATAAAGGCAAACGCCTTACATTTTGCTGGTCGGTAATTTTTTATTTTGTTCAACAGCCCGAGCTTTCTTTATATGGCCGCCCGAAAAATGTGCTCCCATTTCGTGATTCAACGTCCTTGGTGTACATAGGCCGGCAAAAGAATGAGCATGCAAGTCACGTTCCCTATATGGCGTGGTTCGTATTCCACGACCTGCAATGCGTCACTGCCGATGCTCGCTGTTTGGGCTGCAGGTTTCGAGCGCCGTCGACTGCTACTCGTATCGAATGAACCACAACAGGCGCAACTGTATAGCACGGACATTGTGTCTGCTCAAAACATACGCTGAAGAAACAGCCCCATTTTTTACTGTTTTTTATGTGCTGCTTATTTAAAAGTCCGTCAGTTCCAATACCAGCTGCTTGAATCGAACATTGGCTTCAATAGCAGTTTTGTAAATGGCAAGATCTAATTTCTTTATCTTACTGGCTCCGTTAGACGATTCCGTTTGCTGTGCCATTCAATATCGTCTAATGAGTTGGTATGCAGAAATCTTCATTTGACATCTTGCAAAAGGTGGTGAAATATTCAAACTGAGACGCAATTATACTGCTCTTCTCTTCTGGTACTCTTTTGCCGACTTATGGCATATAAATTAGGATCTGATTGCATAGTTCATCAGTTATATATATATATATATATATCAGACGTTTTTATTTGTTTTATATTATTCTAAACAGCACAGTATTTCACCCTCAATAATGAATCGAATGAAGCTGGCGCTCGAAAATATTTTAACTTGTTCTTAGTTGTTTCGTTCACAGAGACTGCATTCATGCCAGTAGGCAGTGGCACTTTATTGAGAATAAGCCTATCTGTATTCAAGTATTTTATTATGATTATGTTGCAGGCAGTAACAGCTACAGAAAGCCTTCTACATAATATAAAACCAGGGTATATATTGTTCATTGCTAGAACTCTCTCATGCTTAACTCGGTCTGTTTGGACAGCCGACTTTAATAACCTATCTGAATCAGTTTGCCTGACTCAGTGTCATTCCAAATATTGCCTGCGAATATTATATTCAAAGAGAGTTTTAATACCTGCAACGCTATATTGAAATTTTACTTGCACAAACAAAAAGGTACGCAAAGCATGTCGAATCAGCCATGCCACAAGCTCTTAGTTTTTTTGTGTGTGTGTACTTTGAAAATTGTTTTTTTTTTCAGAGTTATAAAACTTAACAGTTGACTACATCAAAATTAGTAAGATGCCGTACATCGAAATTTTGTGATAAAAAGACCGCAACATCTTTGCGGCCCTAATATTTTGATGTATACGTGCGATGTGGTATTTCTCCGTCAACTTTATAAAAGCTAGGCAATCGTTGATATCATAATTTCTATGCTAGTTGCGCGACCACAGAGTAATCCTTGCTTCAGTGAGAAATGCTCAGGACAAATATTTACTTTCAAAGCATTCATTTTCTTGTTTAGTTATAGAGGTAGTTGTCTTCCTCTTTTTCTTTTATTTCAGCAGTCTTCTTCTAGTGCAGCTTATCTTCACTCAGTCTTGCCATCCTTGAAATGGCCTCTCAGCGAAATTGTGCGCACTTTTCTCTTCAATGCCCGTGTCTTCGTCTGCGCTTAAGGAAAAAGCGCACACTGCAGGCGTTCCAGATTATGGCTTGTGTAGATAGGAGATTTACGGAAGCATAAAAGGGGCAAGGCTTATACAATCACCAATCTTCACTCGCCATGACTTTCAAAGGCGCCCAGAATTAAGGAAAACATCCCCTCCCCTCTGTCGACATTCCGTTTTCTTCAATGACTTTTCCGTTATTTCTTTAGTCTCACCAGGCGGCTCTATCTTTGCATTACCTTCCAGGCGCTGGCGAACTCGCTTGCAAAGCAGCCCGGGTTCGACTATAGCAGTTTCACTTCCGCATGTTCCGTCACCCGCGCACAACATAAGCCACAGTACTTCTTTTCGCGCAGCTTCCCCACCCCCTCGCCCACCGCAGCTAGCTCCCCTCATCCACCGGTAATTTACAAAGCGGCAGCGAGATATGCTCCCGGCGGGATTAGCCGAATGCAGCAGGTTTTCGTAATTAGCTCGGAACAAACTGCAGTTCCTGCTCAGCCAAAGCTTTCTTTTCGGATTCGTTTATTTTTTATACTTTTTTTCCTTCAATTCCTTTCGTCCGGTCATGCAACACGAGTGAAGTGTTCAACGCGCGCACACAAGTACTAAGTCAGCACCACTTGGAAGAATTGCTTGTCTTGAGGAATGCGCGAAGCAATGTTTTGCGAAGAAAGCGTTTGCGCGAAACAACGCCAAATGAGAATTCACTTACCACGACGCAGCTGCGATGCGTGCAGTTGTGTTTGACTGCTGAATAAACCTCTTTTAAAGACACACTTCTCAAGTTTGTTTAAGTTCTTTGTGACTGTACATTCCGCTACTTTCTTTCTTCCAACAATTAGAGTGTGCTGTGTGGGTTCATTGAATCGACGTTGTCGGGAGCGCAATGCAGTCACAGGTAGCCACTTTTTTTGAGTAACTTAATGAGCTCCGCCGATAGGAATATATCTTCACTCAACAGGCGGTTTCAACCTTGCTATCTTAACTGGAGCAAAATACGACGAAACTGCTTCTTTTTTTTTTTTAAGGCGCCAATTGTACCTGCCCTGGTAGATTAGAAGGTTGCTGATTTGACGAGCACACATCTTACTCGTACGCTCACAGAAAAAAAAAACGTGTTACACTTTTTAGTAGCTTCCGGTTCGCCGCATGTATTAATCTGCTTAATGAGGAAAGAAGCGCAAGTTTAAGCACTCGTTTTCTTTGTTATTATTAATGAGAATTAGCAATAATAATAAAAAATAACAGACATTGATGTCAAGGAAAGCATAGGGGATGTTATTAGAAGTAGTTGTAATGCGAAATTGAGGGGAAAAAATCGACGAAAAGATAACTTGTGACAGGCAGGGACCGACGCTCGGACAAATCATGCCGCGGGACTCACAGAAAAAGGGCAAGGTACCCTTTCTTTACAGAGTGTAGCTGTAGTGGCTCTATTGGGGTGGGACTCAAAATTATAAAACACCCACGTGCCTAAATGCAAGTGTTCTTAAAAAACTACGGCTGCCCAATATTGTTAACGCGTTTGTATTCGCGTGTGCATTCGTGAGCGATATGAGTGAGGTGTCAGATAGACTCAAACCAAACCGGAGATGATGCCGATGGCCTCACTCGAAAACCAATTGGGGAAGAGATCGCTCCTTGTGTAAGTCTTAGTACTCCCACTGTGCGCCTGATTAAAGACGGAACGAATTCCCACTAGAAACAGTTTACAAGTCACTATTTTTATTCCTTAACAAGAAAGTGTTTCTTGCCGGGCTCCTCCGGCAGCTCGCTAAGATCATTTCTGTTACAAAAATGACGTTGGCAAAATGCACACAAGCACAACACAATAAAGTTTTATTCGTGCCAGATCTCGAACTTGTGAACTCATGACGGGCGACGATAGGTGCCGGCCACCCACTGCACTACCAAACACATGCACAGAACGTTACAGGTAGAATCTGTCACACCTTCTGCCTCTCGCCACCGTCTTCGATAATGGGTGCCGTCGTCGTCTAGGCGGGTGAAATGACGTACTGCATAATGACACCACCGAGCGCCGACAGGGAGCTTTTATAGTTGTCTCAATGCAGCACATGCCATACGTGGAATATTGCAGGAAACTTCCACAGGAACAAACGAAGTTTTTTTTTCGCTAAATATTGCTTTGGATATAGTGGCACCGACAAAGATAAGTGCTGCTATAAGTGTCATGGAAAGTCAATGGCGTCAACAGGTGAATGTAACGTAATTTATTGGTTCAGTGCAAGCAGATATACGCCAGCGGACAGCGAAACGCTTTCACGCGTTCGAAGCTCATGCTACGAACGTTGTGTGGTGTATAGTGCGTTGTGTGACAGTGGGTACAAGAACACGAATAGACATAGGTCACCCTATTATTGGAAGCGCTCTCTTGTCTTTTATATCCTCGAACGACTTCGATTTGGTTCAGTGCTTATGCTGTAAAGGGAATATTATATGCTATGTGTAGTTCAGGTCATCATTTAGCGAGATGTACGACATGCTGTTTCCAAGTGCGGGTAGACTAGCTCAACTACCATGAAGGTTTTATTATGAAGATGGATCTCAATTTCCGAGTTTAAAATGCGCAAATTATCGTCAAAGTTGGTAAATTCATGTCAAACGGTGCTACAGCAGCCATACACAACTAGACATTCTGCAAGCTCTTATATATGATGGTAAACTAAGCAACCAACGACTCCTGCGAAAACACGTTTCACTTTCTGGTTTTACTGGTTTCTACTGCAATGCGATCAGTCATTCTTTCATATTTGATTCGACTGTAATCACGTTCGATCGTCATGGGGCTGTTGTTTTAGGGGCAGCTGGTAATTCGTAGCGTCGATTTAGAGCACTTTGGTATATTTTGGCATACGCCGACGATATTGCCTTTTTTGCAGTTGATAGAGAGAGTGTCACTTCGTTATTAAAAATCACTCAAAGGATTTGTGACACGAGTGGAAATTTAATGAACAAGGAGAAAAGGATTGGTTTATGGCATGGTAATTGGGACCTTACGCCCAGTTCCTTTGGAAATATTCAGTGGCTCACGACGCCTAGTCGTTACCTAGGGGTACCATTGGACAGGTATCAAGACAGTGAAGCATTTTGGCTTGGAAAGGCTGAATAACTGCGCGCGACCACCGAAGGATGGGGCGGTCGTGGCTTATCAATTTTCTCTCGGTCAGCTGTATGCAACGTGTTTCTGACTGCTAAAATTATGTACCTTTTGCAAGTACTTAGTTGTACGCGTAAAAGCATTCACAAAGTCCACGGGATATTCGCCACGTTCATCTGGAGCTCTACGTGGGAGAGAACATTTAGAACGAACTTGTTTCGGCGAGTTAAGCAAGGAGGGCTGTCTCTGTGCCATCTGTTTCTTAACCAAGTAATATCACGTTTTCTGCTCATTAGAAACCAGAGAGACTCTTTTTTACGTTCTTTATTTCAAACAACGCTGTTACACCACATGCCTGACTTCTTTGTATCTTCAGACAGGCGAGAACAACACACCTTGTCACCGTTCTTGCGCGAAGTAGTGTTCTCATATCGTTTCTTAAGGGCGCGGTTTTCGATAGATTACCTAACTAATGTGAGAAGAAAGCGCCTTATGAAAGACCTAATACAGAATGTTTTTCCTGTGCCCCTGTACCGTTCAAAGTATGAAAAATCATATGGTCATGACGTACTAAAGCGAGTGAAAAACATGTGTATACCACCCAATGTGAAAACCTTCTTTTTTAAACTTCATACGGGAACCTTGCCAGTAAAAACGTGGCTTGAAGAAAGAGGGATGTATGTACCATGGGGAAGCAGCTGTCTCCTGTGTAACAAACCTAAGACCATTGAACATGTGTTTATTGATTGTAAGAACGCTATTTTATTTTGGGACATTTTACAGAGGACTTTAAAAAAAGATTTACCTCTTACTTCGTATGGAATTCGTTTTTTGCCTTGTGATAGTTCTGTGTAAAATTTGGATGTTATATTTTTACTTGGTCTTCATTCGGTTCGGCGTAGTATGCTATCGTGCAGACACTGTGATTTGAGAGTTCTATCCGTTAATGAGTGCTTCGCGCAAGCTGTTATAAAAGTGCGAGATGTGTATAAGACTACCGACTGTGTTGAAGATGTAATATCTTCGTTTGACGCGTTATCACGCATGAAACACGTGTGATAGTGATTGTATTATTAGCTTGACCTGTAGTCAAGAAGGCAATAAAAAGAAAAAAAGAGCACTTTAGTATAAAATCCAACAAGCCGGCCATTCATTTTTCAAGCCCACTTGCCATAACTCTGGCACGGAGCAGGTTTGGGCGTGTTGGTAGACCACCATACTTCACAAAACCTCTAAACGAACGTAAAAGAAGATGAATTCCGAATAAGTGCTTATTTTCAACTTAATTTAAAAAAATCAATATTGCTTGTCGTGTTTCAACTTTTCTTAATGTGGGACGCTATATGGTTGGTGAAGTACGAAACACTGGTGCCAGGAACAGTCCTTGATCAACGATTTATTATCGCTTCAAGGCAACGTCTCAGAGTTGAATCATACAGTATTGCAAAGATCATGTACAACAACAAAAGCGTGAAAGAAGATAAAAAGAGTCACTGTAAGTTACTTTCACAGCTAGCCATTTTATGAGCATTTTACAGCCAATGAAATGCTGTATAGTTACCGTTCGGTAATACGAAAACATGTCGGGAGAGTGACAACAGTGCGCGTAAAGCATCATTCTTTACGTTTTATCCTCGACAGCGTCAACCGAATATTTGCCCAACTGGGCTGTGCAGCTTTTGTGCTGCAAAGGTTCATTTCAGACGGCTCACTTCCTCTGCTTGAGTTGCCACTATGAACGGACAGACTCACCTCTAAGAAGCAGGCGGACGAAGTTCATGCTGGTCTTCTTCCTACGAGTGAGGGTGTTTTCCGTGTGACAGCGGTATCGTAGGAGTTCCTCTGAGTCTCGGGCCTCTCGGATGTACAGCTGCCCATCGCTCGTCACCAAGTATTCGTCTGCACACAAAATGAAAGATATTGAGTCACCTAACGTGACATATAATGATGCTGACTTGTTATGAAATGGAATTCTCGCCAAAAATTTTTCTTCACTACGATCAGCCCCCACACCGGTTTTCGTTTACTTAAGTTTATGACATGAAGCATATGTAGTGCAATTAGGGTAGAGAATTTTTCCAAGCAGATACATGTTCATGTCTATAGCTTTTTTTTTCCTGATAGCTTGGACTTTTGGCTAAATTTCAGCAAGCATTGCGAAATCTGTTATCGATAAAACGAGATATTTGAAGTAGGGGCTATGAACTATTCAACAATAAAGCTCGTAGCGTTGACGATCGTACGGAAAACTGCCTAACGTTGAAGCTGCAAGCCGCTTAGCATGAATTTCTTTCACTGACAGATGTTGAAGCCGCTGTAGAACTTTTATCTGTTCTAAGGTTGTAACCTGACATTGTAAGGTCGTAGCAAACAATAAAGAAATGAAAAAAAGTAAGGTTAGCAAGTTAGAGTTGTAGCCAATGATGTTCGCTCTAATGGCACGTCGGTAATTGTCCTACAAAAGAATAAATTACTCAGAAATATACCAACATGCTGGCTTCTTTTCGCGTATCTAGCCACAATTTAGTGCACAACAGCCAGTGTACGGTATGTTACCCACCTTCACATGGTCCGTTATTTATCGACAAATAACGAGCCGTAACGTTGTTCATCGTAGGGGATCCTAGAGAAACTACAGGATGTGTTCGGCTAATACACCCTCGTTACGTAAATAACCACACTTCGCGTAGTCGTTTTATCAAACGCGAAAAAAAAACGTAAATATCCGAGAACACGCTGCGTGATATGCCTTACACCACCCCAACATACACCATCTGTATATTCACGCACGCGCATAACCGGGCTTTCTCACACACACAAATACCGAATGTTATTCAGGAGCCAGAGATATCTGCTTTGCTGCGCATAAAGCATAAACACTGCAGTAACGGCATACTTGACGTTCACCGTTACAAAGCTGCACCGACAACGTCGCCATTTCGGATGACTCATCTCCCGACGACGCCCGCGTGGAAACCACTCGCTGGTATAAGCACGGCGACGCTTGGGCACTGGGGAGATTTGTTGGCACTCACGTACGCGTTACCCTCATGGAAGAGCACCATCCCATTCGAATCTCATATACTTCCTCCTACTTTCCCCCCGCTCGGCATCCATGTTATCCACGAAGGCCGTTACGGCATAGATACTTGCAAGCCCGTACGCTACATCTTCGCTCTATCCAAGACTGCCACGTTGGTTATATGGCTGCGGCCATACGTGATGGTTTTTTTCCCTTGCCACGAGAAACAGTTCGTACCTTCTTCTCTTTTCATGTGTTTGCTCAATATTTAACGGTTCCTTCCATACAGGACCACTCGCTCCTGGCTCTCAACCTTTTCCTCCCTAGGGCATACACGTATTTCGTGACTTTCGCTAGAACCCCCCTCCCCCTCGCGAGTGAATAAATATGCGAAGATATGAGGGTGGATAGAAAGGAAAAAGCAGTTTGGCCTTATCTTTATGACGCTTCAGCCGGCTACAGTTCCCGCGACACGAGAGAGCACTTTTTTATGGAACATATATCTATGCCGCGCTGCTGCAGCGCGTATATAATCTCCTTTTTTTCCCCTTTTTTTCCACCGTCTAAGGATCAAGCACTTATTTCCTGTAACTTTTCCACGCTCTCTCCTTTAATATCCCCTTCACTAGAACCTGTAATGTAGAGTAACGATCTACAGGCAACCACGTTGAATGTCCTGTGCCTGTCTTTATTGCTTATATATATTATTTAAGTGGTTCTTCTGTCTCATAAAGAGCAGCTAGGGCATAAGCTTCGTAACTCTTCACAGATAGCCATGCATAATTTTTTAGTCAGAAATGTGAACAATTTGGAGGCATTAACTGCCGATTGACAACGTTATTTTTTGTGGCCTTTTATTACATGTGACGTAAAAAAAATAATGAATGCAAGAAAGGGACGTATGTAAAAATCGGGAGGCCTTTGCTGGCTATCCGCATTTCTTCTTCGTTTCTTTTTAGAACTCGGGGGTTCGCAAACGCTGCTATATAGTAAGTTTATCGGCACTAAACGTAAGGAGCAGAAGAAAGAGTGTAAAATCTTAAAAAATACCGCTTTAGAGAATTCAAAAGCCGGTGTTTGTGATATATATAAAAAGACGTAATTCACAATCGTTCCCGTAGACAGCACTTCATATAGGGAGACCCGCGATTTACTACGCGTCCAGACCCCTGAAATGAAAAGTTCCCAGACAGAACACAATGGCAGCCTTCGAGACGAGCTGGTGAGCACGCTTGCAAAGGTTTGTCGGTCGTCCCACAAACCACCGTTTCTCCGAAAGACTTTTGTTTCCCGTTATGAAGAAGTAATCAGCGACTGACAAGGAAGCGGACTCGTTCGCGGCGACAGCGGATACCGCAGAGCGTTCCTCTATGCATTCTTAAAAGCACGGGGCTCCTACTACGTGCAAAAGTAAAGCGAAGAGAGAATGGATAAAACTAAAACGAAACGCCCAGCAGGCGATCTGCTAGAGCGAGCAGCTTTGCGCCACGAATCCTTTGGAAATGAATATTTGATGAAGCCATGGCTTCCGGCTCCGAGTTTAGTGGTGTCGGAACGAGCAGCGACAGGCCGGCCGGCTCTAACTGGTTGAATTCCCGAAGACGGGCGGGGACATCGAAGCGTTGAAATTTTCATAATTCCCACAGGTTCACCCTTCCCAACTCACCATCCCCTCTACTCACGCAACGAAAGATCGGTACGTGTGGTGGCACACTTTCTATCGGTGCCCGATCCGCGAGCCCACGCCCCGCTAAATCCTAAAGTTTTTCCGCATTTTGCTTGTTCCTTTCATTTACGCAGACAACCTTCCCTTCTTTAAAATATTTACAGCTCGCCTTTTGCTGACAAACGATGCGGTCTGAGGAAACAGCAGAGAAGTGAATTTTTCAAACCGCACTCTGCCAACAAGTCGACAACAATGCTTTTGTTCTTCTTCTAGCCCGAGAAGGTAACTTCGACGACAGAGCGCGCGCGCGCGCACACACACACACACACACACACACACACACACACACGCACACACACGCACACGCACACGCACGCACACGCACGCACACGCACGCACACGCACACACACGCGCACACACACACACGCACACACACACACACACCACACGCACACATACATACATACATACATACATACATACATACATACATACATACATACATACATACATACATACATACATACATACATACATACATACATACATATATATATATTCAACGTAGAAGTGACTGAGAAAAAGCAGCGTTGACATTCCAGGCAGCTTATATAATATATTATTGTTGCGCTTTTGTTCCATGTACTGCCACTCTCGTATGCATTGGTGAAATAGTGGCTATGGTGTTGCGGTTTTGATCCTGGCCGTGGCGGTCGCATTTTGATGGAGGCGAAATGGTATAGAGGCCTGTGTACTGTGCGATGTCAGCGCAGGTTAAAGACCATCAGATGGTCCAAACTTTTTTTAATCGGACTCTCCAGCATAATTCATGAATTCATGATGATATCGTTCTTTGGAATTGTTAAATCCTGCATGTAAAATATGTATTTATTTCTTATTTAGAAACATTGCCCTTGTGTTTCATGTACTACCTCGCTCAGTATAAGCTACACCGTGAGAGGGCATTGCCAAGTGCCTTGTACTGTAGGTTGAGTAACGCCGATCGCGATAGGTTTTCCAGTTATCAGGGAAGTGTTTCACTCTTCCTACGTTTGTGCATCGCCTCATGTCGTTTTCAGGCCCAGCCTCGTTTTTTCCATGCCGTGATATCGGCTTTGAGGATAGCTTCGAGGTTGAAAGCAAACGTGTGGAGACATTGCCCGCTCGCGCTACAGCCAAGCTTAACTTGAAAATATAGCACAAGTGGCGCCACTGTACAGCGTAGCAGAATTCTCGGCCATGCGCTTACACGGAGTCTATACAGAGCGCGATAGTACATGTATTAAATCATGCACAGAATATATATGTCATATATACCCACAGTGTATATATCATATTGAAGTACCGATGATAACAATAAATAGAAATTCACGTAATAAATCAAGGACATAATTATCAGGCTCTTTTTTGTGGACGTCTCCAGAAGTTTCGACCATCTAGTGTTCTTTACGTACACTGACATGTTACAAATTTGGCCTCCATTCAAATGCGATCACTATGATCGGGATGGAATCCACGAGTTCGGGTTGGCAGCCGAGCGTTGCAACCACTACACCACCGCGATGAACCACCTAAATGCAAGGTTACAAGGTCAATTTAGCAAATCCTGAAGAATTGGAACTCGACGCATACGGTTTCCTCAAGTGGGCTCTTCGTAAATTGCACTAATACTTTACTAGGCAAAACTGTTATGGTTGAGTTCCGCCGTGGGTCGTAAATAGAAACGTATATCATCACTCTTGACCTGCACACTCCTATTGACAGTCCGAGAATTCTACGCTGATTGTTTTTTCTACATTTATTAGCCTAAAGCTCATTAGCTGATCTCATTAGCTTATTAAAGCAGCTCCTGACCGCTTTATTTCTGAGGCTAAAGAAATTGCTATTCGATGGTTCTTGTGATTGCGCGCGGCCATGTATTGAGTTGCAATATATGCTACGACGTTTATAGCGCTTAGCTGTGCTATAGCCTTCCGAAGAACCTCTGATGTAAGAGCTTGCGGAATCACCCATCGCTCAGGCTATCATACAAACCCTTATTCGGCCCCTTGTAGAGCTCTGACATTTGCGCCGTATGCCTTATTGTGTGGCCAAGGCGAAAATGCTTTTATGTAAGAGAAGCTTAAGATGAGGTAATTGCCTCTGTGATGTAGATATATGCATATGAGTTACGTAAAGCTAATATATATGTGTTGTTACATCATTTCTTCGTTTGAAAAAAAAAGGCAAATGATATCAGCCATTTTGCCAGTAACCTGTTTGATGCGACCCGTATAAGCGTAAAATACTACCGATACCGAAAGCGTGCTAAGCCTTCCCGTGACGCAATTGCGACGTTGTGTAAGCACTTCACCATTCTTTCCTATTATTGTCATGTAATTGTTGTTATCTGCCTTCTTGGTGTTTGCTCTGAGGCCTTGTTTTCGTATCGCTATTTTGCAATGCCAGCAGCAGAGTCTCAGGTCAAGAATTGTTTTACAGATATTTTGACGAATTGAATAGTTGCGCAGTTGACTATAAATGTTCGCGATGCTTAAAGACTAGTGCGATGCCATCTTTTAAAGTGCTAAGCGCCAGGAACTAAGCACAACAAGAACGCAAGCACTGTTGTTGCCGCGGGCCACACGCAAAGTTAAAATGGTAAGTTAGATGTGGTTTTAATAACAACCCATGAGAGCTCTTGGAGAAAAGATAGAGTGTGAGCACCAGTTCCTTATTTTTTAAAGAATTCACTAGGCCAAAATTTGAATATGTAGACATGCTAGCTAGCACTCGGGTGTTTTCAAATCACGACAATAATAATGAATAACTTTATTAAAGTTGCTTGTTAAGTGAGATACTATGCAACAGATGCATGGCATGAAACCATCTTCCGGCAAAGTCGCCGAAGTTCAGTAAGAAATGCTTCGCATTTAAAGACCGGAATCCAAGCATTTGTCGAGCGGAATCGAACCAGCAACCTCTCGATTCTCAGCGCGCGAGCTAACCGACTACGCCACGAAGCGTACGTTGCCTGGAGTAGGGTGTACCTGGAGTGCCAACAGCAAACCATTTATATATACCATTCACCATTTCGCAGTCCTCAGAGCTTGGTAACTTTATAGCGTTTTCTTTATCAGTGGCTTGTTGGCGCGACAGGCTACACGATAGGCGCGCTCTAAATGTCGTCGACTCCAAGAAGCGCCGTCTCCACGGAGCACGGTCTCTCCTGCGCACGCGCTTATCGGACTCGTAGTTTGTGATGGGGCGAAGGTCACTTTGTGCGCCACCGCGGCCATGTTTACGAAAGCAGCACGCTGCTGACACTGACGCGAATAGAAGTGTGACAGTTGTTCGCGCTTGTAATATGTATACTTGTGCGTTCGTTTCGTGTGTCTTGCTTTCGGTTTGAACTGCGCGCTTTACGGGTCAAGCTGTGACCCTTGTTAGTCCGCGCTCGTCCTGTGTATGCAAATTTTGGTCGTGCTTTCTGCTTGTGGTGTGTGCTGCAAGTTTCCAGCTGCTTGCCATTCTCAACGTTACTTTGCAATTTGTCGCTGTTGCTGAAAGAATGCACAATAAACGCTTAACTACCACTGTGAAGACACGTTTCACTGTCGTGATGTACCGATTCCTATACAGGGAGATTAACGACGTTTTTTCCTCTCTCTTTGTTTACGGCGAATACTGACATGATTATCCTAATTATCACGTTATTTATGCTTATTCAATTATGAAAGTATCTCCTAGTCATCTTTCAATAATTATTTCACGTGAGAACTCATAATTTTTTAACGCCAAGGAGTAACTGGTGCTATTTTATTCTGGGGAACAACACATGATACAAAGTACAATAAAGTTCTAGGTGACATGAGTGCTTGCTCACAACTTATCTATTCGCAATACATACACAGGGGGAACAAGAAAAGAGCATTTTAGACAAAATTAACAAAACCCACGTGACGGTGGATAAGCAATATTACGTGTGGGACACCATTTTTTCTATATTTTACATAGCACCTCTTTTGTTACCATGAGCTATGCATAAAATGCCCCAATGTTTTTATGTGACTCAGCATTCCTTTCGTTTTATAGATGCATACCTCCAAACGCATTATCTCGATGACTACACATGCGACACCAAATATTGCGTACCTCCATGAGTATTTTTAGTGATGACGTAGCCGTCGACCCTCTGCCAAGATGTCACGAACACGTGGTCAGTCAGATGACTGGGTATAGGACACTGCAGGAGCACGGAGTTGCCACTGAGAACGTGCTTGTCCGAGAAGCGTATTTCGTAGTTGGTGTCCAGCACTGCGCCAAAAAGAAGGATTACGTCTTTCAATTAATATATCTCAGACGGACCCCATTGAGACTGAATACTATATACTATATACTATGGTAACTAAAATTTATATGTTTGTTGGCGTCATTACCACAACTATCACAAACGCAGCCTAGTAGTGGCACTTGCAAGACGATATCAATTTGTGTTCCGTCAGTATGAACCATGTACTCGGATACACAGCACAAGTTACACAATATTCTTCACACCGCGACGCCCATCCATTACTATGACTTGTTTGTGTTACTAGCCAACTTCTTCCTATTGCGCACAAGCGCCTACATGTCCTAGAGATTTTCCTAGTGTGCAAATATAGCACACTCTATATTATTTTTTTTCAACACTTATCGAGCTCATTTCTCTTCTTCCATGCGATTTCCTTCAGCATCATCTTCCGTCATTTGCCTTGTGGTTTCTGACTAGCTTTACATGTTAATCATGCTTCTGCTATTTTACATAGCTATTCCTGTTACGGGGCAATATTTATTTAACACACACCATTTGACTAGGTTGCTGAGGACGCTTCTGAACAACGATAGCTACTCCACTGCACATACATTGGCTTCATAAAAACGGGAAGCAAAATAATAATTGCTACTACAGGGTAGCTATTCGTTCGCGAGCACTGCGTGCTTGTCTTTTGAGCGCACCCCTGTTCAAAGATAATTTCAAACTCACCCGAAAAGAAGGTCAAATAAAATGTCACTTTAGCGCAAACATGTTGAAAGTGTCACTCTACGCAACACAACTGTGCGTGCGGTGAGCCTATGAGAGTTCACTTGCACCGCTAGATGAAGAGGGCTTGACGCAAGCAAGGCTATGTATACAAGTCAGGTCACCTATTTTGCGCTGCATGGCTGTTATCAAAAATTTCGCGATATTTAATAAATGATTTAGTGCCTAACGAACTTAACAAAGGTGCTCATTCTGTTACGTCATGTGGGCTTTCGACAACAGCTACAGACTTCCTGTCACACGCCTTAAGAACAGGAACGAAAAAAACAACAGCACAAGTGATATACTAGCATTTCTGGAAACTCTACGGGTTAGTGCCATAGTGAAAAGCAAAGCGCATATGCACCGAAGCCTGTGGCAAATGAATAAGAGTGCTGGCAAACTTGCTGCTTCTTTTAGGACTTGTTGGAATGGGATAATTGGTAACTCGCCATCTTGAAGAGGCTTCGCGCAACTCGTATGAAAGAAGCGTGAGGGTTGTGCTTGAGGTTATGCGTGCGTAAATATGAGCGTGTTTTTGAGGGACTGTCGGGAAACGCTGAGTATCTTCAATATGCTGCTCTCCTGCCACTTAAATACTGAAAACACATCTCTCTAGTGACTGAGCTTTTTGAAAGAAAGCGACATGCCCAATTTTAAAATACGTCAAATATACTTCGGTGTAGCTCGCAGAGTTTGATGAAAGTTCCTGAAATTGGTTTTTAGCGTTCTTAGTTGATATGGGTCAGCAAAATCTGTTGGCGAATCATAAATTTCAAGGAAGTCTATAGGCAATGAATAAATAAATAAGCCAGCTTCATTTTGCAGAGACGTAGTCCTGTTTTTGATTTTGTTTACTTCAATTTAAAAGGAAGTAGATCACTGTTTCGAAAAAAAGAGGCGCATTCATAAAAGGAAAGGCTGCCGGGATGTTGCATGACTAAGCACAATAGTAACCAATATTGCAACCATTTCAAGAAAAAAAGAGGAGAAATAAATAAAAATTAGGAGCTGGTGTTCAATTGCCACGCAACCAATTCAAGACTTCGCAGTGGTTAGTTCACAGTGCCGCTGATGAACTAATTTCTCATCACTAAAATGCAGCACGCTATTTTGTCGTCAGCTGTGACTTGAGTGCGCGAATTCGCAATCAAGAAGTTTCAGATAAGGTCGACTGCATACGTTGCGCGAGGACTTGTTTGCTTTAATCAAAGAAAAGCAATAGTCGCTTGCAGAAACGTGGACAGTTCTTATGAACAGCGATATTGTAACGAAGCCATTCCAAGAGCTCGATTATTGCTCTCGCAACGAGCCATGTTGTCCACAAGAACCAACTGGAAAAGTTTCAATATTGACGTTAGAGAGCACAAACAAAAAATAAGCTAAAAAGAAAGTGTCCTTGAAAATACTGTATGCGGATAGTAAGCGAATCTTTTACAATGGCGCAAGAAACAAGCTATAAAGAAATTGTGAAACGAAAGAATAATAGAAGGAAGGTGCAATAAAAAGAATGAGACACAAGAGGGACCTACACAAAGTTGAGAAAAAAAAATGTCATGTGAGAAAATAGGCCACTCAATGGAGGACATCACTAACACAAATACTATTACACAGAAATGAAGAGCCTTATGAAGCCGACGTTATCCTACAAGTTAGGTGCTCGATACATCTAAACTTATTCGTGCCTAACTTCACTCTAATCTGCTTAGTCAGGGTTACACTTCACTCCGTAGCACAGAAGCAAACATAAAGCGGACCTCTCTGACTGGCAGCCGCTTTGCCTGGGAAGGGCGCAGAGAAAAAGACAAAGGGAGAGGTGGAAAGGAAGAAGGCCGAGAGGAAGGAAGGAAGAAGAACAGAGGTGAAGGGCTTGTCCTTTGCGCGTGGCAGGGCGATAATCGAGTTAGCTTGACTAATGGATGGTCATTGTGACTGGGCACAGGGAGCGTGCTTCAACAGCGCATCCGCCGAGCCGGCGACGTTGCTTTGGCTAGTGGCTTTGCCTAATTGCCCCGTCAGCTCGGTAGATGCCACAGCCGGCAGCGTACGCAAGACCGTTGAGCGATGCATACGAGACAAGCTATACACGGGCCCGCTAAATGGCAAATGGACAGCGCGGAATAGAGATGTTTGCCTACGTTAGTACAAGTGGGACCTCGATTCGACGCCAGCTTGAACAACATTCGTTCAACGTGAAAGAAATCCCTAACAACTGCAGTAGAGTGTCTGCGGAATGTTGTAAGGTTCAGTTTAAGCAGCACTCGCACTTGTTCAGAACACTTCGGCTCACACTTCACTTGAATCCAGCAGTTGTAAGAGATTTTCCCTTGCCAATGTTATTTCTGGAGTTCTCCAAGGCAGTGTCTTGGGCCCACTACTGTTTTTGATTTTTGTCAACGATTTACCTAAAGATATTACGGTCCCCATAAGGTTTTTTGCAGACGATTGCGTAATGTATAAAACAGTCAGGTCTCTTACCGATCAATCAGTACTAAATCTCAACCTCCAAAAAATACAAAACTGGTGCACCATTTGGCAGATGGATCTAAACGCTGCAAAAACAGTAACGATGACCGTAACTAGGAAAAAACGCATTCTAAATACGACGTACTCTATAAACGATCATGAGCTTGGCAGAGTAGAAACACACAAATATTTGGGTTTATTAATAACTTCCGATCTACGATGGAATTTGCATGTAGACTCCGTTTGTGCTAAGGCTAACAAAGCGTTGTGGAGACTTCGGAGAAATCTGCACCATGCTAGCCCGGAAATCAAATGCTTGGCTTTTAAGGCTCTCGTACGGCCAATTACGGAGTACGCAAAGGTGGTATGGGATCCGTACACAACAAGTAATCGCACTAAGCTAGATAGAATACAAAGATTGGCGTCACGTTTCATATTTAACAAATACCAGCGCTGCCACTCCCCAACTCAGCTTTGCAAGCTGGCCCACCTTGAACCATTAGAACAAAGGACAGAGTATGAAAGACTTAAATTACTCTTTTTATTCATTAAAGAACAAGTAAAAATAGACAAATCGAAGTATATGTATATAAAAACTGGGGAAACGTCAAGGCACCGGCATAACATGTACATCCCTCTCCCAGATCACACAACGATTGTTTTAGGTTCAGTTTCTTTCCGCGGGCGATCAGTGAGTAGAACAGGCTGCCGAATTCCATTGTCTTATCGGAATGTGTACCTTCTTTCTTGAAGGGCCTAAAGGATGTCGTGTATAAATATGTATAGTTTATATTTTGCTTATTCTATGTCCTCAAGAGCAGAGTGCTTTGGCTATTTCTTGTTATTCATTGTTATGTGTATTAGAAGTTGTATAGGGAGTACCTATTTTTTTGTATGTATATCGGTTTTTTTTCCAACCCTGTTAAAGCCAAAATGGGGCTGACAGTATAATATAATAAAATGAAATGAAATGAAAAAATGAGATTTTGTGTTACCATCAGATGCACAATGCGCATGTGATGTTAACACTATCAGTGGTCGTATTTATTGTTTGGTGAATGAGTACACTGGAAGCATGCATTTGCTTGGCTCGTCCTTCATGCCAGGCTAAAACTATTAGTCAAGATAGACTTGGCGAGGGCTTCAATACAGGTCACTAAAACGTTGAAATAGGAAAATGCGAGACGCTGAAAGCGGACGGAGTTATACAGAGGTGGCTTATGTATGCGTTTCTTGAATAGGATAAATAGCTTTGAATAGTGAAATTGTTCGGTTTTGATTCGAAATTTCAAGTATTCTCACGTAATTATGTATGCACTGGACGAAACATAAAAGCGATAGCAGGAGAAGCCACGAACAGAAGCGTCCGCATGTTTTGGAATAGAAGTATGGCGTGTGAGCCACGGCATGTCTCCTATTGAGCGTCACCTATATATCAAATTGTGACAGGACACTCATTACAATTGGTACACTCATCAGTTTGCACTCATATCTGTACCTGTGGCTATCGTTCGTGCGTCGTTTCTGTTTAAACAGCGCGTTAAGCATTGAGCTGTAAACGTTGTTAGTTAGCTTTCGTCCTGCGTGGGTCATTTTCGTGCATCATTTGTGCGTGAGCAGCGCACCGCATGTTTCGATCTGCAAGCCGTTCTCAGCGTTACATTCCAATTTGATGCTATCGCATTCATTGCTTCGCCCTTGCGGTGAAACTGTGACCCCCACCCCCCCCCCCCTTTTTTCTTTTTATTTGGTCAGAAAAACATGGTTTACCGTTAGGTACCGCTAATAA